TATGGTAAGATGAAAACGAAGGAATCCCATGTGCCCTTTTCCCAGCCCTGTATGCCATGCAAAAGCACGCCCCCCCCCTCTTCAAATAACGATTAAGAGAAATAACAGTCATGGTGTGACACCACACAGGCCCTGCAACAGGCACCGCGTATTCCTTTACTGGTTTCAAACCATCCACTTCAGCTTTGGGCTTCTATAAGGGACCCTAACAACAAGTTAGTCTAGTGGCACAAAAAGGGGCTAAAAAAAATAAATAAATAAAAGACACTGCATGTGCATCCTCACTGACTGGGCACGGTGTTGAGGATTGTGTTTATTTATTTATGACAGCCATACCTTCTTTTTTATGTTGCAGTGGCAGCAAACAGTCCACAGATACTTGAGGGTCCTCCACAAGAGGATGATGAAGAGACCCCCGAAAAACGTCACCATGGAGGAGGCGAGGAATGCCCACCACATCCGCTGTCCGTTGTTGTCGCATGGCACCTCCGACGAGAAGGGGATGAAAATGTCTCCCATCTTGGATATTAAGATCGAAGCGTCCGGGTTGATATTGCTGGTGATGCCGTTTGTCCTCATAGAGCTGTCGCTGCCATGGGGAACCGTGCCATCTGCCTCAGCTAGCATGTAGGAGCCTTGGAGAACCTGTGCCAGCGTCCCCAGCCCCACTCACCAGCCATATTGCTTAAAAAAAATACCCGCTCTTCCCCCGTAGAATTAGATTTAGATCGCCCACCCCTGATTGAGTTTGTTTGTTTGTATTTTGGGAGGGGGGTTGGGGGGGGGTGTTTCAGAAGCCTACGGGTGGGTTTTTCTCGTGACAGCGTGAGACAACGCGCACGCGAACCTGACCGAAACGACGGGTCGGTGGCCCTTGGAGAGAGGCATTTAAATCCGCAATAATGACGAGTCTTTGGGCGCGTATCACTCGGAGGGCTGCTCGGGCTGCTTCTCGCCGTATGCCATGGCACAGGCGGCGTCGTGTGCAGCCTGTCAGGGGGGGCCGGCAGCCTGTCCTCAGACTCTGTCAACAAGACGGCAGCGAAGGTTGTTGCAGCCTGTTTTTTTTTTTTAGAGGCGACCTCTCTATCCGTCTTCCATTCAGGGATCCTGTCGATCGGCGGGGCGCAGAATCGATTCGCGACTGTCTTTACGCGTCAATCGGCCGGGAACGACTCGCGACAAGGGGGGGAAGGGGAAAGGGAAAAAAATACACAATAACAAATAGGCGAAGTTGGGAATTGAATTCTGGAAACTCTTCTAAGCGCCGTGCGCGCGGCGGAGGGCTGTGCGCATATCCTCAGTCCCTGCGTAAAAGCACGGCCGCTCGGACGGATGTCGCCGCCTCCATTCGGTCCCCCTGCAGCCCTGGCACGGAGCGGGCCAGCTGAGAGCGCCTGTCAGATCTGCTCCAGAGGAGAGCGAGGAGAGAGAGAGAGATTTACAGGTAGGAGGGCGGAGCGAAGCGCTAAGAATAAAGACGAGGCAGAGGGCAGCGAGACCGCCACGGCGTTTTTTTTTTTTTTTATTCCGAGCGCCCCGACCGGTGTCCGCCGCTCGGAGTGTACAGAGGAGGCTGGCTACAGTCTTTGCGTATTTATTGCACGCCAGTGACGCACGTCGCCGAGGCAAAAGACGGTTTGAAAAGGGGTCTGTATCCATCAGACATTAAAAATTCGAGGACTATAGCGCGCATCATAAAAAAAACCCAAATCAAATGAGGTGCCCATATTGGAATCCGGCCTTGAGGGATATATATACGGCGACTGTGCCCAGTCAAGTAGCTCTGTGCTGAATTTTCATCAAGGAAAGTGCTCCTCTTTTTCAATTACGGAGACAGTGGCCTTTCCAGTCTTTCATGATGCTCGTCTCTGTTTTCATTCCGAAATATACGCACAAAAAACACAGTATTTGCCCCACCCCACCCTCCCTGGTTACTGTAATAGGTTACATTTTTAGCTCACACATTATACCAAAGCAGGTGTGGATTGGCGACGACGTTAATGACCAGTTGTAGTTTATGGCTGCACCCTCAAGTAGCCGTCCAGAGCCAAGGATATGGGGAAACAGCTGGCCTGTGGCCCTGAATAACCACTGACCCCCTGAGCACCAGAGCAGGCAGGTTCTGTGCCACCTGTGTCACAAGGCTTTGGTTTTTTATTTGATTTTTCAGGCCGTTTCGCAGCGAGGTCTCAGTATTCTGTTTCAGGTTCGAAAGAGTCAGTGGATTTATTCATATTTGCTTTGACATGTATGATTGAAATAGCGGGTAAACTGAACTGAAGAAGATATAAGAAAACATTCATTTGCTAAAATCCGTCCTAAATATTCCCCAAAGCAGGAAGTTATGACACTTAATCTCAAGTGCGCCTCATTTCAAAAGTAAACATGCGTCTAAATGTCATGTGTGGTTTTTATGATAGTAATATATTATCATGGAAATATCAGTGCATCAACAAAAATAGCTGCTGTAACTGCTGGGAGCCTTTCAACCTGAGGAGGGGCTGAGCTGTAAAACACTGGGGACCGGCCAATCTGTAAATTATAGCACTTCAGAGTTATGGCTGTATGTGCAAGCATTCTGACATAACACATAAAACTGACGCAGTCCACGACTGCCATCCACCATTGGTATGCGTGCTAGATACGAGATGCGGGGCTAAAAGCCCAGGCTGAAACTTCAAGGCGATGAATTGTCTGAGGTTGCATGATGTCAGGATCCCACAGCACAGCATCAGATCAACAAGGCTCCAGGCAGCTGCACCAACTCTGGAAACAGGCTCTGAAGTTTGTCCTCCTGCTGGTTAAAGAATGAACTGTTATATTAAAGGCAATTGAGGCTGGAACGCCGATGATCACGGTCGGAGGAGCAACGAAATTGGAAATATCTCGGCCAGTTGCTGGTAAATGTCCGGCGAGAGAAGAAATAAACAAAAAGAAATGTGATCTTAGTACCACTCTGCGTGCAAGACTATCCTCAATAAACTGGAGGACAGTTGCCACACATTAAGGGCCTTGACAAACCCTCATGTGAGGGCACTGGTTGGGTAACTAGGAGAACTTAAGGAAGCAGAACTGAAGCTAAAAGGTCTCAGTGGTGTCAGGTGAGGAGATGAGCATGGGGACATTCAGGTGGTAATCCTGCAGGACGCTGCGACACGCAGTCATTAACACGGTGAGGAACCGGAGGACAGATGGAAGGACGGACCCCGCGAATCAAACCGAAAGGTGGGAGAGAAGTGGGAACTCAGCTTGGATAACGAGATACGACATGAGTCGAGAGGGGTGCGGACTACAAAGATTCTCCACTCCAACTTGAGACTTCTCAAGTTCAGTTGAGCTGTCAGCAGCTGTCTTGAAACAGACACCCTGAGGTGAGGAGTGAGATCCTACTCCTTTCTAAAACAGGCAAGAGGCATCTTGGAGGACATGAGTTAGGGCACGGTACAGTAGGGCCGCTCAGACCAGAACATCACCGTTAGTGTAGGATCTGGAAGGAAAACCTTCCACAACCTGCTAACCAACACTGAAAGATGACTGTTCTATCAAATGCGCTGTACACGGCGTGAGTCCCAGGCCCTCTCAGCCACTGTGGTGGGCATTTTGAAGACACTGGGTATGTTCTTGCCCAAATGAACTTGACAGCCAGCTGGAGGGTGGTCACTCACTGTGGTATTATTGGCTAGAAGACCATGTGACTCCGGATGAGGCTCTTGGAGGAATTTACCTCAAGCCAGAGGCGCTCAATCAACCAGAAATTTCGTGGTGCCGCTACAGGCTGTCCAGTCGCATGGAAAACAAGTCACAGAATGCTGCAGACATGCTACGCATTTCCAAAAGCACAGCAAGCATCCACAGAGATTTCTCATGTTTCCAGCCCAGGTTTTTGTTTTTATTCATCCATCTTTGGGAGAGTGACAGCTGCCTACAAGATAATTTCTTCATATGTGGGAAGATTCTGCTAAAAACATTACACAGAAATAAGAAACCACATGGGAATAATTTGGAGACACGGTCATGACTTGACTTAATCAAATCTGCATGGAAATTCAAACATGTTGGTATATTATGGTCTATACAACTTACACGGATGCATCATTGTGCCACTTATGAGGAATCAGAAAATCAAGGATAGAATTGAAAGCACATTAAAATGATTCAATTAACTAATGTTGTAGAATCAGACAATCATTTTAATGTCTGAAAACCAATAGGTTTCCATAAAGAGGTTATCAATTCGACACAGTTACTTACATCCTTTTAGTTGATTAGAATTCTTTTAAGGGCTGGGTATGGAGCAAATGTTTTTTTTTCTACTGATGACCTAATTAAAACTGAGCACAGAAGAGTCCTGATCTCAGTCCCATTGAAAACTGTTCAAAATCCTTTTTTAGATTAGAAATGCTCTTACCTGATAGTTATGGCATCTAGAAGTCAGATAAATGCGTGTTCTCCATGTTTAAAGCTAAGTTTCAGAGTATTTGACTTCAATATCATTCTCACTAAATGTTTGCATGAAATATGTTTTATTGAACAACTAACAGAAATAAAGAAAGAAAAGCATATCTGGCTTTAGTGAATCAGTTTTCTAGTGATGGGGAGTTCAAACTTCAAAGTGATTTATTGCTGAAAAGCTGCTGAGAAGGAGATGGAGCCAAAGAGTCCACAGCCACCTTTTTCATCCCGAGCCAAGGCCCCATCTTTATCTGTGAGATCCAGGCAGATATTGTCACACATCCTTATCTCATCTTAGTAATTGATGGCATTTCATCAGCCACTCTTTTCCTATCGTCTGCTGCCTCCATGAAATGGATTGACTTTTGTCCTTTAACTTCCCTGAAAGACAGCATCATATTTTATTGCAGAGACTATAACGTTTTCTCTAAACTCTGCTTTCAGAGGAATAGGAGACAGACCGTGTTTTCTTTGGCTTCGACCAAGATGAACATTTGTTGTCATAACTGGAGGGGAAAGGAAAGACACAGACCAATTCCATAATGTGATACAGAAGAATGAGTTTTATTCTCATGTTAATGTCTCAACATACAAATCACATTCTTTTTTAATAAGAACATTTTAAATCAGTACCTGGCATCTAGACTCTTTAAAGATCTTTTTTTTTTCTAAATATGCAACCATTTTACGGTACATCCTACTCTAATGTAGGCTTTTGCTAACTACTCAGAAAAATAGTAACATTACAGTTTGCTTCTGCTTACTCTTTTAACCCAATAGGCAAGACGTGGACAATATTTCATTTGAAAAACTGTGCAAGAATAGATCCCTTTTTTAATAATTCAAATAAGAAGCGATCCTTTTTTTTTCAAATTAAGAATAAAAGGCCATCAATGAAATGTAAGGAACTGATGTGTACATAAAACATGAATTAGTTACAGTAGAAATTATAGTACCTATTCATAGTCTGCTGGAAACCTAGGAACAGTTTAAGGTTCACAGATAAACAAGTGCAAAATAGAAATAAAAGGATAAAGTTGCCTTAGTGGATTTTGGCACAATAAGATACAAGATATGGTTTTGAGGAAGGGCAGAATATTTTTGTTCCATTTTTCAGTTTGTTTTTTGCCTCCTGAATAATAATAAAAAATACAATTAAATAACAATGAAAAGTCACTGACAAACTTTGCTTCATAGTGTGTCTTATGAGTACATTGATAAGTGACTGACAACCAACCACAACAAAAACCTAGAGTAAATTCTAAAAATAAAATAAAATACTAATACCTGCTAAGACACGACTCGACCACTAGAAGTTCCTAGATGTTTTACCAAGAGAAAATAAATGCATTATAGTCATCTGTATATGTGATTTTTTCCAGAGTGTCTGCATACTGTATATAGTGTACTTTATATCATTGTTAAATACATGTTAAATAGAATGAATGGTAGTTACACAGTGGTCTGTCTAACCCTGGAGTGCATTTAGAGGAGTTAACCCGTTGGCCGCCACATCGGCCTAACCTCCAAACCTCATTACTGTCATGCTCTGTAAACTGTACTGGTCTCAAATCGACCCTTAAATCATCTTGTCCAGGTTGGGTGGATTGAAAATCCTCAGTGTTCTGGCAAAATGACTTGGGGCTGGTTTCAGATCAGGCTTCTTCTCCAAAGGCACTTCTGAAAGGCCCATAAACTGTCCACACCTAAGCTACTTCGGAAACACAATGCATAGAGCAAACAACAACTGATGGCAGGCAGCTTCAGTAAGGTCTAAGCTACATATACGTAAAGGTTTGATGGTTTTTGCACTTTTGTGATGACACCACAAGGAACGTGATGCCTGATACTGGCATTCCATTTCTATTCCATTGTGTCCGTGTTAACAGCCGTGACACAGTTCAGCTAAAATGATCATGACAATTGTGAACAACAGTCTTAAAGTTCTGATTCACACATTCACACGCACAAATATACAATTAGTTGTCAGTCATCATCAAATGGGTGCATAATTGTTGGGAAACCACAAATCTCATTTATTACACAGGGGTCAGGGGGGATTGAACTTCATTAGTGTTGAGGCTTGTGAACACAGAGGGGGAAGGACACTCAACCAAGCAAATATTGAACACCAATATTTAGACTTGTCTTGTAACTGTAAACGGACGCTTACAATGCAGCATTACAAATACACCACCAGAAATCCTTAGGGAAGACTGATTGAACTTAAACATTGATATCCAGTGCTACTAACCTGCTCCGGAGTACATCAGAAATAAAGGAGGCTCTGATTATAAATCATAACAAAGACAAATAAAAATATCAATAATTTACACAACTAGCTCACTATAGTGTACCTATTGGTATAGTATGAAGGGATTAACTAGAGTTTGGGGAATGGATCTGAGAGCCGAGGCTCACTGTAGTGGCAGCCGGTCTCCTCTAGGGGCAGCCGAGTGGAGTCCACAGGACTTTACTTTGTTCTTGATCAACTATAGTGATGATCTGAGTGCAAATGTAGGGGAGGGTGCCACCTTGGACAATACCTGAAAAGAGAAATGGACTTGTTAACAGCAGTATTTATCATAGGAGTGAAATAAACCATAAACCAAAAAGACCACATTTCTTTTGTTCATTTCCAGCCTTCAGAGGTTTGTTTCTGAAAGGGCCATTTCATTCTACAAACCTGTGAAAAACTTGCTGTATTCTTGCTCTATCTTCTGAGCACTTTCAAATTGCTCCTTGGAATGTTTTTGAGATACTTTGTCCCGCAGATAGATTGGATCCTTCTGTTCTCTGCGAACAAAAACGAAGAAGTTCATTCAGTTTATTCAATTTTTAAATTAGCCTTTAATCACTAAAAGCCTCTGATTGTTCACAAATAAATGCATCTGCTCAATTTCCATTATCATTTTGCCAGAGAGGATTTTTAGACCACATTGTTTTCAGAAAATCAGTCACAAATTATGCAAACTAATTAAGTTCATGAGAGGCTAAAAACACAGAGATGAATGTCAGAAACCATCTAATTCCATGTGAAGAAGAGAAACAGTCCTGCACTTAGAGACTGACAAAGCAAAGGAGAAAAGTCTGTACAGCATTATTTACATGTGTGGGAGAAGAGTGCTTTGACAGAAACGTCAAATAGTTTTGTGGTGAAGTAGAGAGTGTGAAAGCTAATCCTGCTTCATCAATCCATCAAACAACCTGACACACACACACACACACACACACAGCGCAGGCAGGGTCGCCACACTAACAAGACATCCCCATCAGCATTCTCTCCAAATCTGTGTTATGAAACAGGCAGCTACTTACTTGATCTGCTTGGCATTTTTGTAGCGGATGAAGACAACGATGGGGTAAATGTGAACGCTGTGGAGCCTTTCGATGGCATGTGGGGCAATGTCAAGCAAACAGTGACAGCCCTGCAATAAAAATGAATAAAGATTATATTAAAAGGAACATACCTCTAAAGGCAACTCAATTTTTAAACAATTGAAATTTGATGTTGAACGCAAGAATACCACTCCTCATCACCGGAGACAGTGACGGTTCATCTTGAGCAAACGCAAAGATTAAAGACAGATAGAAGCCACTTCATCCCAGTTGATACAGTCTGATGAGCACAAAAATATACAGACAATACAAAATATACATACCTTATCTGTTATTTCCTTTATAGAAGCAACAGTGGTCACGTCAAAATGTCCACTCCTGCGCTTGTAGTCGATAAAGAGGCAGTCTTTGACACCACGCTCGATGGCTTGCTGAGATGCCTTCATCACTTCTGCAGACATGCGGAGATACAGTATAGATCATTCTCAAAGAAATGTCAACGAGTAGTAAAGTGGAAAGAACATTATTGACTTTTGTTGTAGAAATATTTCAAGATGGAAGAAGGATGAGCCCAACCCACCCAGTACGCATCTGCAGAACTTTCCGGGGGATTCCTTTACCAGCATCTCCTTGACAGGATCAGTGAGGGGACCGAGTACTAGCACTGGTCGGGGAGAGGTGCAATCCACCTTCTGGACCCGCTGGTAGGCCAGGCTCACACAGTCTGACCAGAACAAACAAGGCAAACATCCAGTTTATTAAGCTGTTCTGATGCTGCCTGATATTTTCCCCCGCAAAACCTAAACCTTTCTCCTCACCATCAAAGAACGGGATGGAGTCTGTGCTGATGGTATCCAGAGCCACCATCTCTTTGCTGTCTTTGGAGCTGCTACGTTTCTGTTTTTGTTTCCTTCGGAAAAAGGATCTGCGGGCTGCTGCAGAGAGAGTCTTACTGGAATCTTCCTTCATTTCGGTCACACTGTGTCTTCGGTAGAACTCTTGGTCCATCCTACATCGCAAACAAATAAAAGGGGCTTTTATCCTCTGAAGCTTTTGACCAAAGTTGTTTCAGTGCTGGTTCAGGGGTGGTGCAGAAACCAGTTCTTCACCAGTTGGTTCTGATAAAGAACTGGTTTGTTTTAGCCATCACGTTCAACCCTCCTTTCAGTAGATTCTGCATTTCTTTATAGGAAATGGTTCATCTTCATGAAAATGACACCATGCCAAGACTGGAACTGATTTGGTGCAAAATTGATAGCATGTAGGTGACTCATTCAGAGCCTGAGCACTGGTCGTAGAAAATAAGAGGCAATTTCCCCCCTTATAAGCATTACAGATGTAGAGATGCATTAAGGAGACATTGTACTCTTAGCACTCTTAGCACAGTATATAGGTTGGGTTAGGACTAGTACAAGGACATAAGTTACATCATATTTAACCCCCACATTGTAGCAGTATGACAGAGTGTTTTCACAGCTGTTACCAACTATCCACTCGCTCAAACGTGCGTGTGTGTAAGTGAGCGCTGCATTCTCCACCCACATGTACTTGCTGGGGATCTGTCCTCTCTGGATTTGCTGTGCGTTCTCATCTAGCTGCCAGGCCATCCAGGTCCCAAAGCTGCCCTTTGGTAAAGACTCGTCCACATACAAGATGTCATCCTTCTTAAAACTGAGGTCCCCCTCAGCCTCCCCCACCCTGTCGTAAAGTGCTCTGGTGGGAGGACGCAGACAAAGATAGATGGGGTGTTATGAAGAGCACGGCGGAACCGAGCAGCAAAGGACCGTGAAGTTGATCAAAATGAAAAGGAAGCAGAGGCAGGGAAACATCGAAAGAAATGAAATATAGAAGAAGTTTATCTATTAACAATATAGGCCAAGCTCGCCTCCTGTTGGAGCCTCATAACTCATTTCTGAGTGGCCTATCTGTGACAGCCAGGCAAGCCGAGTGTATTTACTGCAGATGACATCACAAGCCGGTTTGCCTATAAGACAAGTGACTGCAGCAGCTGCAGCAATACACCCCTGACAGACTCAACAATAAACCAGACTATTTTAAAGCTCCATTTTCCATTCATACGCAGTGTGGCTCGGATGGCCTGAAAAAGACTGGGAACAAAAAGTGGATTAGATAACCTAAATTTGTGGTGTGATTATCATGGCTGCAGACCCACAGAGGATCTGGGACATAATTGGTTAGATGACAAAGAGTCTAGTTTGGCCAACAGGTGTGAGGCGTATGAATCGCAGGATGAAGAGATGAGGCTGCTTCGGAAAAAATGTTAAGAGCTTTCGCGGGACTGTATTGAAAATAATTCCATGAAAACGTCTCATTCTCTGTGTAATAGGTACATTTATACACACACCTAATATAGAAGCCATCTCCCGGGACATCTTTGACCACAGCGAAGTCTTCGGACCGTTGCTGCACCTTTAATGTGACCGTTTCTGCAGGCTTCAGCATCTCAACATAAACCTCTTCTGCCGTCTTATTCTTCATATTCACCGAGTTATACTGAGAGAAAAGGGGATAAGATGGGAGGAATACATTTAAACAGACAGAACTTGAAGCTCATGTCATAAAGACAATTATTCAACAACAAACTCAGAGAGAAAGCAGAAAAATCGGCTTGATAGTTAAACTTTGCAAAGTCATTTCCTCTCGCTGTGACAGCTCCACTTGCAAATGTTATATTTCCCCCAAGCTTCCAGCGGTATTAAAGAGTTTTGGTATTGATTTGTGTCGTGTCTGAGGGACGTAAACAAACTGGGAGATTGCAGGACGGATGGACGTCGTGCACAAGCTTAAGCATCAGTGTGCAAGGAAATGCCATCTGGAAATTGTGCTGTTTCAGATCATTCATCGATGTGGAGCGAGACCAAACATCAAGTAGGAAAAGATCAATAAAAAGCATTTCAGAAACATGATAAAAAATGACAGCACCTGTTTTGCAGCTTGAAAGAAAGATATATTTCAGTACAAGGAGAGTAAAAACCTCAAAATCGTTAGTATAGTTCAGACCTGAATTTGTTTACTGATTAAAAAAAAGAAATCCACAGCACAATGTCACATTGACTGGTCTAACTTGAGAAAAAACAAATAATCAACAAATAAGTCATTTGTGCATTTAGATACATAATATACTTTACAAAATGTGGCTTTAACTCTAAACTTTAATATTGTGTTGCTAAAAAGTTATTCATTTTTGTGAAAGTCAAATAAAAGTGATGAAAATGGGGGGGGAAAAAGACTGCTTGCCCAAGCGTACCTCCAGAATGAGGTCTCCAGCAAGAAGCCCATTCGTGCCTCTCGCGGGGCTGTCCTCATCCACACTCTCGATGTAGACACCCCGTAGGTTACCTCCACAGAGTGTGACTCCTACTTCCACACCAGGCCGGCGCACAGTGACGAGCCGGAGCTCACCCGCCTTCCTGCTGCCCTCTGATGGCACTCTGGAGGAAGACAAGAGTTGGATGGAGAAAATGGCTGGTGACGCCAACTAAGCACTTCTCCATCAGACACTTATTTGTATGGAGGGGATCTTTTGGTCCTCTTCTGGCGCGTTACTACCTGATAAAGCTCTGAGGGCTAGTTGTGGGTGTGGTCTGCTTGGAGGAGGGGGTGAGCGTGCCTTCGTCTTGTTCGCTGAGGGTATCGATGGTAGAAGGATTGTCTGGAGTTACAGTGCCGCTCCCGTGGGGGGTCGACTGCGTGCTCACTGGCTCCAGTCGAGAACTGCGGGAACAAACGTGGACGTTTTCATTTTACTGATGAATTTGCATCCACGTTGTGTTTAATGTACACATTACGAAACAGCAAACCTCTCTGCCTCCTCTGCACACAACAGTGTGTGGATCTAAAAAAGATAGGAAGTAGTGGAAGGCTTTCTCAGCCCTTTGCTTTGCAGAAGTCCTGAAAATGTTGTTGTGGAATCAGGAAAATTAATAGCCACACAAAATGATTTTTTTTTTTTCAAATGTTGTTACAGGAAACATGTGGCTTGCCTCTTGTGAAGAATCTGTCTGACAAACATCCATCTAAAGCGAGGTGCATCTTATACAGCTAGTCTGCAGATAGAAGCACCGACTATAGCAAAAAAGCACCGTTGCTATAGTGATGCAACAAAGAAAATGGGTTCTTTATTATTTCTGTGAACTTCAGCTTTTCCTTTCAGTTTTTTCGGAAATAAATAATACGAGCCTAATATGAACTGCACTTTTTGTGTTTTTCAATTAGATCTGATTTGTATCATATTTGGATTAAACAAAACTGGACATTAAGATCTGTGAATCACATTGTCACACTTGGAACTCAAGATGAAACTGATCATACTATTTTTTTATAAAGTCGGTCAGTGGCAAAGTATCATCTGGTGTTGCAAGAGAAAACATTTAGACTCATTTCATTTTATCGTATTTAGGAATCAGCAAATCTGAATAAATTAGATTAAAAGGAAATAGCTGGAACACAATTCTCCACATCACATTTTACCTGGAGCGAGAGTGGTTGCCAAGCTGGTACATGTGTGGGTTGTACTGGGCCATAATGGTGATGGTGTCACACTGCTGGCCGATGATGAGACGGGCTTGCTGCTCTGTAGCGTTTCGCAAGTTGATTCCATTGAACTGGTACAAGAAAGAAAAGAGGCATTAAGAGAACTTAGAAGTATTAGAAGCACTCGGGAGAAAAGACCCTTATAGGATTAAGTTTAGATGCATGTAGTTTTTAGAAGGTAATTAACTTTTTTTGCTCTTTCTTAAAGCTCAGGGAGCCATTAACTCCCAGCGTATCATCTGTTATCCATTAGACAATTTAGAAGCTTTGAGGAAAATACTTGCTTATTACAGTAATACAAAAAATTGGAAATTAGAATTTATGTTTTTTGTCTTGTCTATGTAAATGAAGCATGCTGGCCGTATGCTGAAAAAGGTCAAAGATCAAGACCACTTAGGTAAACTTATACCCTCATTTCCAACTTTGAATAAAGTGAATAAAATAAGATTAATGGGCAATTAAAATCGGTAATTTGAGAAGCTAAACTAAAAGCTGAGGGGTTTTGCCTACAGCCACAAGCTTTAAAGTGTTTGACTCTGTGACCTTAAGTACATCTGTAACATCAATCAGTACAGTTGATGCCTAACTGGTGAATTAGCAACAGATTCTCTGCATGTTACGCAGCCACCATTTTACAGTCTGCATGTTAAGGTATTGAAATAGTCTATGACAGGACTGATTAAGTCATCCTGTGAGTGAGGCTTCACAGTGTGGATGTACTGTACCCAGTGTTTGCATTTTTCTAGGACTTTACAGGCAACTAACACTGGATATTATTCATGCTACTTGAACCTTTATGGTGGTTGTGATATTCAGTGGGTTGTTCACACCTCTAGTAATTGGTCTCCATACTCCAGCCCTGCCTGGTGGGCGATGCTCCCTCCAGTGACCTTTGAGACAAAGATTCCTCCGTTCTCCCCGCTGACAATGGAGATGCCCAGAGGCTCGGCGCCTTTATGCACAATGACGTTGCGTGGTTCCTCCAGGTATGGTCTAATGGGGAAGAAAAAATCTGCATTAATGTCCAGCATCACAAGACAGCAGCTGAGGGAAACCACACGGGAAGAAGAGATGGCAAAAGGTGATGTGGCACTATCGAAGCTAGAATGACCAACTTACTTACAGCACTGGGGAGTTACTAATGACCCAAGCTTTTGAATAGTATGAAGTCCAATCTGGTTCAAATTCTAAACATTATAAACAGAAAGCATTTCTTATGAATGTTTAGACCAGAGCTTAAAAATCCCCTCAGGACTGTAATGACTTGTCTCCATAGTACCATTTTATTCCTGGCTCATGGAAACATTGGAAAGGTTTACACAGAGGCTGTGTGAACGGTGAAAGCAGAGAGGGAAAGTGAAACTCTCACGTGAGGGAGAATTGGATGAACCGTGTGTGTGTGTCTACACAACACTATCGCCTTGGACATGCCTTCCACTTTCATGAAGGCAGATAAGAGGAAATGGACTGCAGCCACAGATTGGGGGTAAACAGAGTGGTGGTGTACAAACAAGACCATGACCCAGAAGCTGGATGTTGGATAATAACGTCATTGCATAACGGACACAGTGCAGAATAAAGAGTGACTTGGCTGAGGGCAAAAATGCACACATGCATACTGACCATGTCGTTATCTCAGAGCATGGTCGGCACATGCATTATCTGCGATTCAAGAGGGTCGTCCGATATGGAGGGAGACATGTGCAGGCAAATAAACAACACTCAACCTTTGAAGTTCACCCAGTGTAGCTAATCAAGGTCTGTGTGCTCCCTGAGGCAAAAGTAATACTGTTGCATGCAAAGAATAGAAATCTCACTTTTAAGCCATATTCAGAGATTTGTGGGAACGTGAGTAAAAAAAAAATTAAAAATAACTCATTTGCATTTCACAAACTGCATGGAAACTGCACGAGTGTTCTGCTCCTCCAAATTATAAACCAACATAACTGCCCTAAGACACGTGAACGTGGGAGAGGAGTGGTGGCATTCCCTTGATTGTAGCACTGAGGGAGAACAAACCTGAGGCTCCTGAGAGAGGAGAACCTCGGCCTTGCAGCCAGAGGAATCCTTAGAAAAGAGCGATTACGGTAAAGAGATCTGGAAGTGGAGGGTAGCAAAGAGGCGGGAGGAAGATAAAGAGGAGAATTGGGCACAGATATCATACATATTCAGTAATTCTGTAAAAGCCTGCGATGCGTCATCAAAACAGAGTGGGACATAAATATTTGATGGGAAGTATTAACTACATTTCTAACCATTGAGCTAAACTGCTGTCTAAATGTTTTAGTGAGATTTCCATGTGAATTGCAAGAATGGATCACACAGCTAACCATGAAAGACTTGTTGCCAGGCAACACTATCTGAAACGGCTTGAGTAGATCCCTGAAGGCAGAAGAAGCCCATTTCACGCCCATTTCTGAAGTGATCCTATACCCATACTCGTAACATTTTTCTCAGCATCTCCATCCTATAGCAAAGGCCCCTCAGTCTTACCACATTGTCACTGAATACTAGTAAACTATGTTACAGAGAAGAACATCCAGATTACAAAATAACCAATACATATGGAACACAGATAACACACAACATTAAGGCTCACAATAAGCAAACACACCAACCGACCGCTCACAGACGGATTAGATTTTTGCTATGTGACCTTTCAAGAGTCATTTCTGTCGTACCGGTCTTTCCTGCGCTCCCCTATTGGCACAGGACTGACTGATATCCGAGGTAAAGTGGAAATGGAGCCCTGTGATTGGCTGCTGGCAAACGAGGACGTCTCCAGATTGAGAGGCGACTGTGGAGGCGTGATGAGACTTGGACTGCTACACTCTGAATGCGAGAGGGAGCCTGGATTTGGGAAGGAAGCAGCAGAAAGAGATGGAAGATGGTGTAGTTTAGGCTAAAATTTGAATTTCACAAATTTGGAGCAAGTTTATCATTCCCCTCTTTTTTCTGATGGGTCAGCGTACCTCTGTCTGAGCCCAGCATGGAGCGTGGGTAGCGGGGGGTGGAGGGGATTTTGATCCTCTCTGTGCGGTACTGAACATTACTGGAAGAGCCTGGCAAATGGAAGAGTGCTAGAGTGAGTGCTTTGACACATAGAGCAAAAAGGGAAAAGGGCGGCATGTCTGTGACCTTTCGCCTGTACGTGCGTGCGTGCGTGAGAGACTGACCGAGCCGTGCACTGGAGGGCAGTGAGTTTGTACCGTGTGAAGCTCTGCTGCTGCGTGCTGATGAGGACTCAGAGTAGTCATTTGTACGCTTTTGCTGGCTCAGGTCCAGGCTCAGACGACCCTGGTGTTGTGGGCTGGACAAGGAAAACAAAACGGTTCTGGTTTTCGAATACTTCTTTTGTGTGTGAGCAGAATTGAACTCAGAAAAGTTGAAAACTGATGGTTTTAGCATCATATTCCAGTGAACAGGCTAAAAAACAGTAGACCAAACACCATTTCCACCAATTTAAAACCGTCTACAGATGTGCAGACAGGTTAAAAATGAGAGGTGATGTTGGTAGAAATGAGGTAACCTGGTGTGATTGTGCTGGTGACATATCTGAGACGCAACGGAGGGACAGTTGCTGGTATGAACGCGGTGACTGCGCACGGTGTATACTGGATTCCTCATCACAGCTGTTACTGCAGGGCAAGGAGACAGTCCTCGGTGGGCCGAATCTGACAAGACACCAGCACACCTCCGTGTTAGAGAATGGGGAGTTTTTATGATGTGTATCTAGAACGCCAGCGTTTTACATTGGAGAAACTCACTTGGAGGTAAGCTGCCATTGAAGACGGTGGGAACAAAGCCAACACTGTGTCTATGAGAGCGGCTGGGGGAAGAACGCAGCATGTCTCTGGGCTCTGGTGAATGCTCATCGTTGGAGTAGCTCTGGAATGAATCACAGACAAGTGCTGTTACGAATTTCCCAGCTGGATAAAATAGCATGTCGAGGGAGAAATCCACTACTATTTGTAAGTATCATACAAGGGAAATGACAAAATGAACATCCCACAGCAGGAAAATGAACATTTATCTGCACAAAAATCTCCTGTGTGCTTCAGGAGCTAAAGCTATGGCTGCACACAGCTGTCTTGCTACCAGGTTCAGCCCCAGAGTTGGGGGGCTGCTGAAGTATCAATCACTGCAACACAGTGGCCAGAAGGCAGGCCCCAGAGGCTTAACTTTAAGAGGCAGTAAATCTTATGACAAACTGAATACATCGGTTCACTGGAATGATTTGGAAAATCTAATTTGAAAAAAAAGTCTTAAAAGCATATTCTCTGTGCGAAAGAAAATTTTAAACTGCTGCAGAGAGTGAGAATCATATCAGAATCAAGCAGATTATTTTTCTTTAACAGGAAAAAAATATTCTAAAGACTTTATCCACTTTCCAGTTGTTAGACAAACTCACTTGGAAGGAGGGCAGGGTGATGGTTTGAGGAGTCATCCTACGTCGAAGTGCAGGGGCAGATTTGGGGCGTGGCCTCTTTACCTCTGGCTCCTCCCCTCTGGTACGGCCAATGTCCTCGTCACATGACTTTCTCGAGGTGAGGACCTTGCCATCCAGAAAATAGTGGTTTCCATTCCGGTCTCGCTCTCGCTCACTCCTCTCTCGGCTCTCTCCTGCTGCCATGGTGATGGCAGCCTCCCCCTTGCCATCAGAGGTGATAGTGCAGTCAGAGGCAGAGCTGCTTTGATGTTTGTGTTTAAATTTGAAAGAGTCGCTGCGAGTCGGGGGGGTGGGAGGGGTCGGGGTTGGAGTGGAAGAAGAGGAGAGAGACTCTGTCTTTGAAGGCTGAGGGGAGTGAGACACTGCAGCTGCAATCTGATTAGCTGCCATGTACTCCATCTTGGAGGAAGGCGTTTCAGGGCGTTTGAAAGTGTCCGGGTCGAAGATGGACTTCCTCTGTTTGGGTGATTTGTAGATAGAGAGTTGGGTGGCTGCTGGGACTGGACTGGCATTATCTGGTGCGACCGACATGCCTCCCACCATCATCTTAGGCCAAGTGCCCCCACTGTGCTTCTTCTCCAGAGCCGTCTCCATAGCGATACAGTTGGAGGGAGAAAGAGGCTCAAAGGGTAAAGACGAAGGCCCCTTTGTGTAGGTGCAGCACTCTTGGAAAGCACTGGGCCCATAGCGGCCACTTCCCAGGTCTGACCCGGGCCGAAGGCTAGTGGCGTGAAGTGACCCTGTGGAGAATGGCTTGCTCATGTCGCCATACATCTCATCAGATTCGCCTCTGACCTTCCTCCTCTCCCCAGATATACTACTTGAGCTGGCACTTCCAGCATCCGGGCAGAAGATGTCGGTCTGCGTGGAGCTGTTGTGTCTGAGGTTGCGGCTGTTCCTGGAGTGGATCTCGGACAGGTGAATGCGCCCGTTTGGCTTTTCTGATGACTCACGCAGACTCTCAAAGATATTCTGGCCCGACGCGCTATGGGGGAAAAACTGTGGGGTGGAGAGAAGACTATTGAGCAACACTAAAGGAACACTCACTAGTTTTGTGATGATGTACTGATAAACTGAATGGTAATACCCCACAAGGGTTAACTCCACAGCTGCATTTTACAAACTGCTATGTAGGACGTGCAGACAGGGTTAAAGGATTTTCATGGAGAAAAGAAACTTGTAAAGCGAGTTCTGGCTCACCTTCAGGAGCGAGAGGCTAAGAGAGTCCCTGCAGCTCCTCAAAAGAGCCTCACACTCTGTCACAGACTTGTTATCCAAAGTAATTCCATTTATCTACAGAGAAAAAAGACACACTGTGACACACTGTTTCTATAAAAAGGCTGAACAAGAGTGGACAGCTTTTTAACAGCTGGAGATATTGAAGAAAAAAGTTGGTGTGCTATTTACATAATTTTTTTACGTAAGAGTTTTTACATAAGATTAGTTGAGGAAAGAACCCTCGGATTTTCACTAAAACAAGTCTGACACATGTACAAATTAAATGGTCATTATAATTTAGCGTCATACCATACTAACATTTTATTTCAGAACCTTTTTGTGACACATTTAATAAGTCATAAAAAGTCTGATAAACTGAACTGGCCTGCATTGGGGTTAGACAAGACATAATAAACTTACATGATTAAGATCTTATAGTGCATGAAAGACTAACCACTAACAGTTAAGGTTTTAACAGAGAAATTATTTGCTTTGTCAGTTTTAAAAAGAGTGAAATTAGAGGTAATGAACAGGCTGCTGTTTTACATAATGCTGTATTGAAACTATGAGAAGTGAGAGTTTTGCCATTTAGCATCAGAAAGTCAGAGTTCTATTTCTGACTTATCTTTATCTCCTTAATTTGGTCTCTGCCTATTCAGGGACAGTTCCACATAACCCTCTAGAGCAGCAGACTTTTGAGGATTAAATGAAAGGAGAGCACTTTGGTCCTCTAGCTTCACATACTACACTAAATCCAAACTTATCTGGGTTTGGAGCATGGCAATTGAGATGGATCAAAAACAAACTGCAGTGTCACACGTACAGAGGGATTTTCTGAGGTTTAAAAGAACTCACAGCTATGAGTCTGTCTCCAGCTGTGAGAGAACCCTCCCTGGCTGCAGGACTCCCCTGGACAATGGCAGTAACAAACACTCCGCTCTCCAGGCCAATACCACTGTCTGATATACACAAAAGAGATTTGGGGGTCAAAGGGGAAAACCCACAACATCGTATTGTAACACCTGTGTTCAATACAAAGTAAATATATGCAATCTATTCCACCTTTATGTCCCACAAGGTTGATGTGAACAGGAGTGACAAGCCTTCCTCCCAGAGACTTTCTTCTTCGTACCACCATGTTGATCAATCCCCCTCCATTAAGGACAGCCTTCACCACCTGCTTCCTGTCCTTATTGGTCAAATCGATGTCGTTAATCTTCAGCAGCCAATCGTTCACTCTGAAACAAAAAAAAAAAACAATACGGAATTTGATGAGTTCAAAGTCCATTAAATAATCCCTTACCATATCAGAGTAGCTCATACCTTAACCTTCCATCAGCTATACTTCCTTTGTCCACCCTTGTAACAAATATTCCACAATCTCCTGGTAAATATGGATCATTTACCCCCTCAGCAACATCAAATCCAAGTGCCTTCAAGTCCATGTCTTCCTATTATGGCAAAAAATAACTGTTTTTAAAAGTTTGTTGAATGCTGACCGTCCTGAGACCAGCACATGACTCAGAACATTGCTCTTACCCTGTCTTTCTCAAACTCAACCACCTCTGTCTCCCACTCGAGGGAGTCTGTGTCGATGGCAGAGTCATGAGAGCTGTGGGCCATTAGCTGACAGAACCGGGCCTCTTTCTCCAACTGGCTCTCCATCTTTTCCCTTTATAAAGAGAGACATCACAGAAAGGTTAGTCACTGGAGGATGAATAGGCACAGAGGCGACATAGAAACAATCCCATGTAGCCCCTCCACTAACGGCATCATCCTCAATTATTCTAAACATCACAGAGCATATTAACCTAGATAGGGAAAATATTGATATTCAAACATATACACTTCAAGTTTTGCTCCTGTTAAATTAGTTAAAGTTTTGTTTTAAAAGATTTCAGTCATCGTTCTTCAAACTCCGTTTAGTGAAATAGGGAAACAAATGTATATATAATACAGAAACCACTAAAAGTGCACTGTGTATAATGGCCCTGTCAGTAAGATGTATAGTGTCCTACTGAGAGCTGCCTGGAGGGTAGGGGTGACATCAAAACCCCATTGCTCTACTGTTGTAAAAGAAACTTACAAAGTCACTAAGTGATGTACAATCTGCATACAGTAGATCATACAAACTGATTTTTGAAGTTTGAGGAAAAAACGACAACAGTAGTTGAGATATGACTGATGTAAAACTGATTCCAATTGTGTAATGGTTGTCATATACACTTCAGACAGCAGAGGGAGCTACAAGATTCAACGCATAAACATTAATTAGCAGAGAGTTAGAGATTGTGCAAGATAAAAAATGAATATATGCTCTGAATACTAAAGCCAAGCAGGATTACATTTTAATCTGGGACATGTAGAGATGATGGCAGGAAAACAAGAACCTACATGATGGCTGTGTACGGCTCAAGAGCAAGGGAGTCTCTGTGTGTGTACGTGTGTGTGCGTGGGGGGGGGGGGGTTCCCCTACTAATATGCTGTTTTTCCTAACAGCTGAGCCTCACTTTAGTTCTTTGAGTTCTCGCAGCGTGTCGTTTTTCTGTTTCCTCATGTCGTCCAAATTCCGCAGGGCATCTGCCAGATCGCTCACTGCCCGGTCCCTTTCTCGCCGCAAGTTATCACAAAGAGTCCTGGGAAAGGCCAGAGAACAGATGGTGAAAGTGAGAAAAGGGATGGCGCCTATCTGGAAAATCATATAACAATTCAGTGATTCTCAAATGTGTAGATTCTGCCCCGTCAGCAGTCCTCAGAGCAAACACACTCACCTTATGCTCTCCCTCTCTGCTACAATTTTGTCCCTCTCTTGGAAGGCCCAGTCCCTTCGACATTTGGCCACTTCAGCCTCCTGTGTGGCCTCCTTCAGTTCCTGGGACATGGCCTCATACTGCTTCCTCAGCACCTCTATCTCCTTATTGGCTCGTTCCATGTCCAGGGTAGCGGAGTCTTGTTTCTGGGAATATTGATTAGCATGATCAGGGACGCTGCAGTGTCTATTCTCAATTCATGCAAAAATAATCTAAATCATTTAAAGCAGACAAAAATAAGAACATGAAGCTCTGTACACTTAAAAACAGCCCTGCGTTACATGTTTAGTAGGCTTCAGAGCTTTACAATTCAAAGTTTTCTTTTTGAATTTTAGACATGGCGCACAACACTGTAGTATTAGAACATGGTTTGGTGATGTTACTCAGCTTCTTTTAAATCAGACAGTAGCTCAGGATGACTTTTTTCCCCATTTCCTTGTGCCTTACAAACTGAGCTTTATTTGTGTGATGCCACAACAAGGAGCCGATACAGAATTTTGTTCTCCTTAAATCATCCACAGCATAACATCCCTGACTTGAAGTACTGCTGTACTCACTAATAAATCCTTTCAGCTTTTTGTAGGGAACATCAGGGGTGATAAAAATGGGACAATGGGTTATGATCAAGGGCATCCAGAACCGTGACAGCAAATCAAGAGCTGTCCTCTTGATTTGCCCTCTTTTAAAATGGATTGAAGGAAATGTAACATTGATATAATGTCTGAATAAATTCATATAAATCATAACTCAAGTTTCCACACTGAAACCATTTGTAGCTCTTTAAAGACTCCTACGTGACACTTTCTCTCTCCAGCACAAAATGTTTGGGTTTCAGACTCAGACCATGAGTGTTTTACAAACAGAGTTAGGGATTGGTTTAATAGACTATACCAAAGACAACAGATTAAAGAAGCATTTTAAGGAGTGGCGAGTAGTTACTTGTCTGGCCTGATAATATTCTCTGAGCAGCTGATCCCTTTGAATTATGGCCTCGGTCCTCTCCTTGCGGGCCACGTCCCTCTCCTCTCTGACCATCTCGATGTCTTTGCAGGCCTGGCTCAGCTCCTTCTGGGCTTCTGCTTTGTCCTTCACTTCGTGGCAGTACTTCTCCAGCAGCTCGTTCCTCTCACAGATGGCCCTGTCACGGTCCACTAGCGACGAGTTCAACTCCTGTCCCAGAACAAACGTGGGCAAAATTAAAGAAGGGCATCTCAACAATGCGAGCCATTTATGCAATGTGAAAAAAAAAGGATTTGAAGTCCAATTCCCAGTGCCACACTCTGGAAATCTACAGCATCTGTCAAACACAATGTCCAGAATTCTTTCTTCTCAAGAAGGGCCGAACACCACTGGGTGTCGTCTAGTCATGATTGTCAAAATGCCCTTTAGTCCACAGGATGGACAACAGCAAAGCTCAAATCTGACCAAAGTCATAAGCAGACAAATTATCTAACAATTTGTTAGATTATAAGGCAGATAATGCTTGAGTAGTAAAATTTGTTGATTGTTTTGTCTTGATAGAAACCAAAAAATTTAATACTTTATTCCAAACACTCTACTAACAAAATCTTATTTCTACTGACTTCATCAGGGACCGGTGAAGGCTCAGAATGCTGAAGTAGTAAATGTGAAGCACCAATACCTGTCTGAGTGCCTCCAGCTCTTCACTGGCCACAACCCTCTCAGATGAAGTGTTTTTCAGTCGGGCCTCAGCTGCCTCTAGTTCAGTCTGCAGCTTATCCAGCTCCTTGATCACCTGGTCCCGCTCGCTCATGATGAGACGGTACTCGCTGAACACGGAGTCCCTCTCCTCCTTATACTTCTCGCACTCCTTGGCTGCTTTGAGCTGCAGGTTCTTGTAACGCGTCACCTCCGACTGCAGCCGCTCCATCTCCCTCTGCAGCTCCTTGTTCTGGGCCGAGGACTTGTTCAGTTCCTGCTGCACCGAATCGAACCTGAGAGAGCAGAGCGGGGCAGTGAGAATCTGAGTGGGAAGACTTGCAACATGCTCAACGGAAAGGAACACTCGTTCTCCTCTGTCAAAGCATGGGCTGTTTCTAGTATTAAAGCTTGAACTTGCATCTCATGTTTATGTGCGGACGTTTTGATGATTTTACCTCCTTATTGAGGTAGAGTACTGCTGCTGGTAATGCATGGCCGAGTCCCGCTGTTTGAGCAACGCATCCATCTGCTTCTGCAGCCTCCGGTTCTCTTCCTCGGTTTGCTCCAGGCGACTCAGGTCGGTGTTGTGATTAGCCACTTTCTCACTGTAGCGCTTGCTAAGGGCGTCGTAGTCCTTCTTTACACCCTCCAGCTTGTCCATTGCCGTGTCATACAGCTTATTCAACACCTCCGACGAGCCCTTTTCTTTCATTACCTGGTGTGGAAGACAGAGGTAGTATGATGTCCGACTGGCAAACCCTTACAGGCATCATGACGGCCACTGTGTTTGTTGTTCCCCAGTTCTGCAGCAGATGGCGCTGATGTATTTAAAGGATTCTGGTTTGGCTGTGCAACACAGTCTAACGCCAACTGAAATAATGGCTTTTACAAATATATGTGCATTTCTAGACCTACGGCTCCACACCTAAATAAAACAAATGATCATGATACAAAATTATTTGATCTACGTGAAGCTTCGGCCCTCAGATTCCATCATTCTTTCTGAATTAGTGAATCTCCTCTGCAGGCCATGCTGATCTGGTCAGTCTGATTCCTGTGGGAGCTGCTGTGACCTGAGGGCTGTACTGACCTCAGCCACACAGCATATACTGCATATACACTGATCTTGTAACTACATGGTTTGGGTCAGTGTGATCTTTGCTCATGCCAGGTCCTTTTTCTTCTGTGCTTGCCCTTTTCAGAAATGCTCTCCATGCACTTCCTTCTGCTTTGCTGCTCTGTGCTCGTAACCACTGCAGTGTCCCCATGGGGGCCGTTTCAGACAGTACCTCACAGTAATACAATACAGGTCACAGCCCCACTGTGCTATTTTAAAAGCATTCACAGCATGGAGCGCGAGAGGCAATATTGTTTGATGCTATTTAAGATAGAAATCTCATGAACAATAGTAAAAACGTCTGAGGGCAAGAAAAGAAATATGCATAAAAAGAAAGCAGATGGATGTTTTAAGAATGTTTTGTGCAAAATTCTCAGAGTAGAGCATGCTGTACGTGACATCTGGACAGCTGCGGCAGAGATGCACAAAGCCGTGCTCCTGTGAGTGGACGGTACCTGCTGCTGCTGCAGCCGGAGCTCGGCCAGCTCCTTCTGGTCTTGACTGTGCAGCCGCTGGAGCTCCTCGCAGCTCTGTTTTAGGTGGTTGTGCTCCCGGACAAGCTGGGCATTGTCCCTCCTGAGTGTTTCCATCTCCTCCTTCAGCTGTGTCTGGTCGCCTAACACACGGCTATGCAGCATGCTTAGATGGGGGGGGGGGGGCCGCAGGTCACATGAGGATTTTATTAGTTGAAATATAAAAAAGGCATAAATAAGAAAACAAAAACTTTAAACTTAAAACTAGGGAAAAATGAATTGTGCTGATAATGGGACTCCCGTTAAAAAACAAATATAAAATCATACGTTTGACGTAATTCTATTTATGGACCTTTAAAAATTTATGGCAAGCATATTCATGACTTTAAATGTATGCCTAAACATCCTCATATCCTGTCATGCTTCAATAGAACTGTCAGAATAAGGAACACAACCGCTTCAGACGTGGAATCAGCTTCTGCTAAATGCATGCAAAGCATCCACATCATTTGGTTATCTACTTACTTTCATAGCTTATCCTTAAATATTCTAACAGCCTAAACCTTCAAAGGGCTTATACATCTCCACACATTTTGCTTTAGCTTACAGGATGTAAGGCCGAATGACTATCAAATAAACACCAACATTCCTATGCTTTTAAAACCATGTAGCTTTTTTTGTTGAGCCAATTCTCTTCAAATTTGAAAGCTGGCTTTAAGTCCAATGGATGTTCTTTCCATTAGGTTAATGGCAAAACCATGCCAGCATTTGGTGCAATAGCGGCAAAACAATCTAATAAAACGTGATTATTTCTGCACTGCAAAGCAGCAGGTGGCAAGTGACAGAATGTTTATCCTGCTTTTTTCAGTAATGAGTCTCCACACACACACACACACACACGCTATTACCCTCACTTTTATCTGGAATACAAGCCCATTGTGACATTGTGTTAATATTGACAATCAGGAGTCCGTTATTGACAACAAAGAAGCAAAATCAAATTAAAGAAGAAATACTTACTGGTAAAAGTCAGCTTCCTTGACAGCCTCCTCGCACCGCTTCAGTGTTTTGGTATGCTGGTTCTGGAGAGACTGCAGATCTGCCATGGCCCTCATGCACTGGCTTTTCAGACGCTCATAGTCATGGCTGGCTTTGGAATTTGGCCTTAAGGAGAATGGGAGCAAGGAGTCAAAATTCTACATAACCTTGTTTGATAGCAGGCCCAAACACAGCTCTGACTGGAGGATAGGAGAACTGACCTTCCCCTTGTATGAGAAAATTCATAAGATTGGAATGAGATGTCTGCTAAAAATAAACCTTCCTGAAAAGAACACACAACCAGCAGAATGTCTAGCATGTGCTGTTAAACTTAAATACATTAGCTGGAGCACACTGAACTATCAACCCCAGTAGGTCTTGGTGCCCTTACTAAACATCATAAAAATCAGTTCTTTTCCAAACAGGAAAGATTTAGCAAATGGAAACACCAGTTGACCCAGAAATGAGGGTAACTTTAGAAACAAGAAAGAAAATAACATAAGAAAAACTATGCTGCTTTGAGAGGAATGGTGTGCAAAAAAAAAAAAAAAAAAAAAAAAAAAGATGCCGTAGTGACCTCAGATCAACACACAGAACAGAATTTGTACCTGCAGTCGTCGAAGGTGGTCCCAGGAGTTGCCAACGCCAGGCGCTTGCGGAGCTCATCTCGCTCCCTGGTCACCTGGCGGAGCTGAAGCAAGATGGTGTCCAGGTTGTCGCCGGTGTGCCTGTTATCGTTGATGGCTGGGGGAGGGGAGGAGGCTTCGCCGTTAACAGGCGAACCTGCAACAATCAGCACATTACCAGAGGCCAGGACTCATCATCACAGCCTGGATTAAAGCCCCACTCCAAATTAACGGAGAGATCATCCAATTCCCACCTCGAAAGCTAAAGCTAAGGCTTTATGATGACTACACACAACTTTCACACGACACTGAAAATGTCCCACCCTGAAAAAATGGAGAGGCAAAGACCTGCTTCATTTGCAGGCCTATTAGCTGAGAATGACATCACATCACAACAAAGCCCAAAATCTAATATGTTACCAATAACTCGACACTCAAATAGCAATTTTATTTTCTGTTTTCCACAAAATCTTTTTGCTACCTTGTTTTTTATCCATTATGATAAAATTCACCAGACCAATAAATAGACTTAAGAGGATTTGTCACTGAAGTAACAAGCTCATCCTCTTTCACAGGGAGTCACTGACACTTTTCCAAGTATGTAGCATTAGTTTAAAAAAAAAAACAAAAAAAGAGGAAAAACAACGTATCATTATCATGTCATATTTATGGTTATTTTCTTCATAAGAACACCCACGGCAGGAAATCTGGGGATTATGTGTATCTTTGACTCAACATTTGGACCTCTTAGAGGTTTATGTAACACAGCTGAGTCATTTGGACCTTTGTCAGGGCTCAGGAAAGGCAAACATGGCACACTTCCTTAAATAATGAGGGAGACATCGGCAGTGTTATTGCCCACAATGAGGGGATGAAAGGCAGGAGGAATAAAACTATAACTTCCTGAGCTCTTGAGTGTAAGCATCAGAAAGCAGCAAGGCTGGCTTGACTTATGAGCTGTTATTGTGTTTGGAGCACGACCACTCTCGCCCAGCATGACAAGTTTTAAAATACATCTTTGGTGCTTATACATACCAACACTGCTGAGGGAGCTGCTGCTTTCTGAGTCAGATGGCATGGTGGAGAGGACGCTGTATGTGGAACCTATCAGGGAGCAAATCAAATCAAAAGATGCATTCAGAAAAAACAGCATCAATAGACTGGTGAACCATTTCAGTACAAGTCTGAATTAAGAGCCAATATAATGGGGAGAGAAATTCATTCTGACATCGGCCGACTTCCTTTACAGCAGTGTGATAAATCTGGAGCAGGTTTATACTTATAATAACTTTAAAACTCTTTCTGGGAGGCTCTATATCATCACTCCAGACCGCTGTTGTCATTAAGCCTCCATGTGCAATCTGCCTGGCTTTGATGTATAGTCTCTGTACGTTTCTGCCATACAGGCAGAATGTCACGGCTGAAATGGGATTTTCTCCTTTTTTATGTCAGGCGCATAGAGAGAAAGGGAGAGGGGGAGAAACAGAAAATGACTCTACATATGAATAGCTGCACACACCGTTAACCTGGAGGATATTTCATACAGGCTACAACAACCCAGGGACTGTGTGGATCCCCATTATGCTGCAGTCCCTGCTCCAAAGGGACTCAGTGTTTTCCTCACACACATGCTGGACGTGTGCTTACTGCAGAATGCATCCATCACATTTCTTATTTTCTCACTCACCAGCATTTATGTCTTAATTGGGTTTAAGGGATTTCTACTAATTGTATACTTTACTGTGAAGAAGAGCCCTCTTACAGCTGGCATTCTAAGAGAAACACTAGAAAACAAACTCTTAACTACAAATAAAATAGAGGCTAAATGAGCTCCTGAAACATAGCCATCTATTCCTGAAGAGAATTTATCTGCAGAGAGACATTTTCTTTATTATTTGACTATTTCTTTTGTGTCGTATCATTTTTCCATCGGCCCGTGTGTCACTACATTATTATACATAATATCTAATATAATTCTACAGGTTTATCATTTAGAAAGCTCAATGTGTTCAATCTATAAAAAAAGACAAGAGAAACAAAGACTATGTTGTAGTAGCTGGAAATAGAAAGATATCTGACCTTTTACTCAAAGTTTGAATAGGTATTAGTCAACTAAATGCCTCCCTGATTCTGTTTTACTTTCTTTCCTTCGTAGATTACTGTTATGTAACAACTGCTAAAAAGTAGTTGAACTGTTTTACTCTGTTGATTCCTTTGAAATATTAATTCACACTTTGTGGTCCAGGACCCTGTGACTGGCATCTTTCTGCAGAAAGTCCGATAAACTTGTTCAGCCAGGTTAGTTTTCTCTCAGATAAGGACCAACATGCCCCCCCCCCCTCCTTCCCCCCGGGTGCTGTGGCTTTTGACGTTTCCATTAAATCCGTGGCATAAACGTCGATATGCTCTCACCCAGTAAAAAAATGAGAAAGCAAGCGCCCGGCGGGGGGGGGGGGGACGAGAGCCACAAAACTGTGGCCAGATGGAAACAAAGAGGAAAATTTAACAGGTCAGGTTCACCCAGGTGCGTTTTTACATAAGAGCATAACAGCTAACGGTTACACAAAATGCCGGCGGTCGGTGGGAATAAAGGACGTTTTGCCACAATTAGCTTTGTATTATTTTGATGCAGCGACCAGGCCTACAGAAAGGGCAAAGCCACACGATGAGGGAACATTAAGGTCTTGATGAAGACATCAAACGGGGACCTGCGTGGTCTGCACAGAGAGAGCATCTTCAGCCCTCCGTCTCTGTCCTTGCCTCCCCACTGGGCTCAGCCACAGATCTGGCTCCGGTCCTCGTGTGTGACATGGCCAAGCCTAATTAACTATGAGCCTCTCTATCTTAGCCCCAGCAGACAGGGCGAGAGGAGAGACGGGGAGAAGGCACGGACCGGAGGAGGACAGATGAAAGGATACAGCCTAACAAAGTCACAGACGAGATAAGGAGGGTGCGTGTAAGAGAGACAAAGAGGGAGGGGAGCAGAGGGAGCGAGTGGAAAGGCTTTTAATCTGTTCTGACATTCCCTGTCAGATGCTCAACACTTCTGCTCTGCGGAGTGCTCGGAGCGAACCCCTTTGATTTGATATTGTTCCATCAGACACTGGGAACACCACTGTGGGGCTGCACAGCGCTGGGTCTCTACAAACGGCACACCTACACACACGGCTCACACTCGTTTGCGAGGCAGCAGCTGACTTTCTGAACTTCATGTGTGACTGACAGGGCTTCACAGGAAGAAACACAAGCCACTTACAGGTATTTTGCCAGCTCGGTTGTGGGAGAAATCGTTTTTAAAATACCCCAAAGACAAATTCAATAAAGCTCTGAAGCTAAATAAAAGAGGTTTAAAAATGTTCCTTCTTGGTGAAACAGCCCCTGTGGTACACAAGTGGTGGTTAAATTTTCAGAGTTTGACATCTGTTCCTTTTCCCCCCCTCCCTTGAGTGCTTGAGAACCCAAAACACTCAGATAAATTAAAATCTGAGTAATCTCCATTACTGAGGGCATTCACCAATCAGTTAAAACTCCCACAAACGAGGCAGTGCTGGCACAATCCTCTAAATCTCACAATCTGATTCGGCAACGGGGATAAATATATGCAGCGTGATTTCCATATTTAGATGAGGGTGATGGGCTGATTACTTGGCCCAGTAAGCACAGCTCTGAATGCAGTACGGCCAGCGATGAGTCAGCGGCGACAGGCAACAGTTTGTGGTTTTGTGTTTGTTTTATCATCGATACCAATTAGCACCAGCCAGAGTGTGTGTGAACATGTTCGCTGCTTCGATAAAATGGACATCCATTAGGGTAGGATGGATCCGATGCTGTGCAGAGGATGAATCCCGTCTGTGGTGGATTCCATCAGATAGATACCACCGCTCATCGGGATTCATTAGATATTGTATCATGGAACAAAAAAGCTACCCGACTTCCACCAGGGCCTGACACACTAAAACACAGAGCCAGTGGAAGACCAGTGCCAGTGGTAATGAAGCCCTGTTGATGCAATCTAAATAGGTCGGGGGAGTGTTTGCTGCACAGATGAGGTCCCCCCCCCCCACACACACACACACACTCCCCTCCCCTGACTGCTTCCCTTCATGTGCTACATGCTAAGCTACCAACAGTTACGCTCTTCAGCACATAAGGCGAGATGGCACGCGTTGCCATGGTGAAAGTGGATGGGAGGAAGAGTGAAACGGCACCGTGGTGAAAACGACCGCGCTGGCAGCAGGTGGAGTTTTATCATAATGGGATGCAGACCGACTTCCACCATTGGATAAGACTAAATTATTCATCAATTCCAGAGAATTCTCAGACAGATGGTGTCTCCCCAAACATGAATAGCGCCCGATTATTTCCTGTGATGGGATCTGCTGCTTCATAAGTCACTTCAGAGCCGGGAAGGTGTGCGTCAGCATCAAGCCAGAGAGCGGAACAAATGTTTTGCCAACAGACCTTTAAATCCTGGATCTGGATCAACACATCGTATGAAGATGTAGTTTAAAATTAGAAATGTTTCATTCCCACAGATCAGTGTCTACTAGTTCTTATTCCTTAACTCAGGACATACACAGAAACTAAAAATCTATATGGAACTAGGGTTGGGCGGTAATACAGTAATAAGCTATACCGGCGTTATCTTTCAAAAGCAACTATATCAGTTTCAATACAGTAATTTAAAAGAATGCAATGCACTTATATAGGAGATAAGTATTCAATTTAATAATTGTTAATAATTATTAATATAAAATCAAATAAATGCCTAAAAGAACTCCTATGGCCAGCAGCACTTATATTAGTTGGTTTTACTTTCACAGTAGCGACACTTTTGATACAGTTTATGAACGTGACGTCATCACATGACAGCGTGATTGATACACCAATCAGATCTTTAGACATGTAAAAAAGAAAATAAATCACATCCCTCTTCTGGGAGCTCAAAGGAATTTTTTTCCCCAAACAAGAATAGTAATGAGGATGTCTAATGATAAAGGTTTTAAACCGTCTGTATCTGTCTTTGTGCTCCAGCACTAATGGCGATTGGAGAAGTGGGTCCAGGTTCCGGGGTGGCAGCGACACTACGGCTGGGATTCTGGGCGCCGAGCCAGTGGAGGCCTTACGGCCGGCGTAAAAGGATTGAACATCTGCCTCCAGGAGTCTGCACCGAGCATAAACATGAGGACGTCTAACACGATGACTCCATGAGCCCAGATTACTCCACCGCACGCACATGGCCCTGACTCACAGCTCTGAGCTCGTGTGGGTCTGGGCAAACCCACCCAGCCTTTTTCACTGCGAGGCCCGGCTCTGGCCGCCGGCACGTCTCAGAATAAGTGTTTTACAGCCGACTGGGAAGCGAGGCGGCTGCCTACACGTGTAACCGCACTGAAATCTGGATCTCGGAGAGGAATCTGGGACGTGTGAGGAAAAGTCAGGCCGGGCAGAACAGCCAGGGCAGAACAGCTCAGCGGCACCACGGTCCAAAAAAGCCCCCCGGTGCCACCCAGCCCAGCCCAGCCCATTATCTTTCTGCAGAGAGGCCTTGCTCAGCATAAACGAGGCATAAAGAGCTTGCCTGTGCCAAGGGTTGGGTCAGAAACAGAAAGGTGAGGGATGTCTGCAACATGTCCTCCAAATGCTCCGTTCCGTACTGCAGCAAACAGAGCCGGGGCGCTGCCAAAAGGCCTGCCTGTGCAGAGAAATTACCCCACCGCTGTAATTTAAGCAATCGTTCTGACATTCGCTTCGTGTTTAATTACAGACGAGGACATGTTAATTCAGAGAAGAAATCTTCGTAGTGAGTTTATAATCTGCTGATTATACAGCACCGTCATTTTGAAGGTCATAAGGAAAAATGGGAATCTAGTGTACAGAAGAAGATCCCCGTCAGTGTACAGAGCCTGCGCAACAGATCAGATCAGACTGAGGCCGGTTTTATACCCTAACCTGAAAAGCATTTTGTGAAGCGTGTGTATAAAAGTGGACTAACTCAGTCTGCAGCCTCACACACCCACCCCAACCATCAGAACACACCCAGGGTAATCCATCCTAAAAGCACAGGGTGACCAACAGAGGCAAACACCAGGCTTTCCTTCTGTGGACGTTCATTTCCCTCTCTTCAACCCCTCCTCGCTTTTAAACATTTTGAGTGACGCCAAGTTTCCTGTCACTTACTGTCTTCATTAATAAGGAGCAGGAGGAAAATTCAGTAAGGACTTTGGCCACTCCGGTCTTCCCTGGACAAGGACTTTAGTCTGTGGTGCTCAAGAGAAGCAGGAGCTGGAGATGACACACTTAATATGCACGAGATAAAAGAAAGTATCTGGGACAGAGAGATAGGGATGTTTTTCCTCTGGCATGATACAGCTCGATTCAGCATGGGAGAATTGTAACTCTGAACATCAGATAGATGAAAGCCAACTGCTATTTGTGTCTGTCGAAGAAAATGAAAAATACATCCATAAAGCTGCGACGTACACAGAGCTCATTATTATTATATTAATAATGTATGATCCTATATAATAATATATTATCTTAAACCTACCTCTAATTTCACACTGATGTTGGTGCTCACACTAAACCTGCACTTCTGATAAATGTTCTGTTTGCGTTGATGTTTTCCCCAGAATTTTGCTCCCATTGGCACAGTCCAGAACTAAAACGGGCAAGTCTGGAGGTGGAAGTAATGATCAGTGAAGCCGTTCATTTCCATGACTTCATAGCTCTGGTAAACATTTGGATGCTGGCATTTCCCCTACCTTGTAGGGCAATTAGGAAGTGGGGCTAACACGTGTAAAGTGGTAATGAAATCCTGTTCCGCGGGACAGGCTGCGGTTCTCAGAGCAGCCCGGCATCACATATGAGTGATGGGAAACGCAGAGCCGAATACATAAAGCGTTTTAACAGCGGCGCTGAGTTGTGGTGACACGGAGGTCAGCCGCTTGTTGCGGGACATCATCAGAGCAGATGAGCTGATGGGTCATCCAGCAGTGAAGAACGGCGAGGCAAACGGAGGGAGCGGGCCGGTGACGGCTCGCCTCAGCGGATGACTGACAGGGACAGAGCGATGAGGAGGGGGCCGCCAGGTCTCGCTCGGGGGAAATATTTAGGAGCCGTGTGACAGAGAGCGCCCAGTCATAACTCACCGTGTACACCCACCGTGGTTTATGGAGTGGGACAGAAACTCATTGACAGCGAGGACAGCAACCCCCCCCCCCCACACTCCGACAACACAAAACACTGGCCAGCGTCCTGGGCTGCTGCACACAGAACAAGCTGCTGACTAGGCACTTTGGGTCTGCTCAACTTCTCAACAAAAGGCCTGTTGTCACCCCTCTCACTTGCTCTCTCTTTCCATCACCCTCCTCTGTCTCTCTGGCGTGTCGCTTTATCCAAGAGTGGAGAAGTCCAACCGCTCGGTGGGGGACGCACATGTAATGAGTCAAAGTAAAGAGGAGGGCAGGCAAAGGTAAGAGATGATGACTCAGAGGGGAAATAAGGAAAATCAAGCACATGACCAACCGACCAAAACAAGGAGAAAACAAAGGGAGAGTGAGAGAAGAAGAAGAGTGTGGACGATGCAGACTGTCAGGGAGAACTGCGTTTCCCTCCTCTCGGAGTGTGTTTAAATCACTGTCACGGACCTCTGAGTCTAAAAGGGGTGAGGGGGAAGGGTGTCGCAGGTACATCCCGACTACTCTATTCTTTAGGTGAAATATGGCCCACACAGAACAAGGACATGAGCACACAAGCAACAGCATGACATCACCTTGACTGCCTTTGCTCGGATTCACAAAATCTATTGAATTCTGTTTGAGATGACGGGCCTGAGGTTCACTGGAAGGCAAAGCAGGGCCAGAACTTCTGTGACTTTCAACGTTTCGAGTGAATGCCTAAAATGCCGCAGTTCCAGCACACTCGGGGCCAAAAACAAAACAGGCGAAAAGTTGATCATTCATTTGTGAGCTCTCTACAGAATATCTGAAGCTGCATGCTAGCAAATACCAATCATTTAAAGAACCTATGCTTTCAACGGTGGATTATTAATGCGAGTATCTGTGCACTCCTGCTTTTGGGGGAGAATGTGCATGTAGAGTTTGGGCGATTTCCTTTGGGCTCATCTTTGTAGGCTCAGCTGGCATAGGAAGCACATCAGAGAACAAGAGCAGGCAGGCAGCATGAAAGAGGACAAGCTGAGAGCAGGTTGCTATCAGCAAGACTCATCACACTTCACACACCCTGTGCCGTTCGCAGATTCGCTGCGATACTCCGAGGATTTCATCCCTGTGAGCTCCTTCTACCAGCTTCTGTGCCTCCAGGTACATCCTGAGTGGCTTCCAGTCTCTTTCAAGTGTGGCTAAATCTGCGTCGCCTCAAGAGCTTACATGCAGACGCTCGTGTACACACACACATTTACATATCGACGCATTAAAGAAATGACAACGCTTTCCCGGAAAACAGCGGCTGCCAATGAGCATAGCAGCACACACAGAGGGCTGTGGAGGCATGATGAAGCGTGTCTCTCAGAGAAAGTCAACACAGGAGAGAGGAGAGCAGGGCTTAATCCTCTATTGAATAACCACAGCCTGTCAAGCAAGACTCACATCTTGTGCTGTTCAAATGCAGCTCAGGTCAGGTCTGTGACCCAGCGCTGCCTTATAAAAATGTGTGCATGATGACAGGGACAAATACCAATTGCAGAGTCAGGCCAAAGTCAAGGACCTACGCCAGAGAGCATTTTGCAGGTACTCGCAGGTAGAGCATTTAAGGATAAGTGGCATTCTGCAGCAGCAAAGCTCAACACAAGGAAGCTGTAAAGCTTAAGGAAGCATTAGCTATCCTGTCAGCAAAGCGGTAACACACCAGCTCAGCATTATCTGCAGAGGTCTGTTTGTTGGTGGAACTGAGGCACGCTCTGAGGCATTCAGCGTTAGAGATGGGAGTCTGGAGCAGCATATGCGACCTGCGACAAGGCCCGCAAAGTTGTTTCACAACTAAAAATACTGCACATCACAGGGGCGTCTTTCTCCAGGTCTCTTACCGACATTGGGATCTCAAGCCTCGGGGCATGATGCTAGTTCTGTGTAAGCCACTGAATGGCTTCAGCCATTCAGACAAAGCAAAACGGGCAAAACTAAACAAGGCTTTTACACTTGGTCGCCCTTTGTCTCTGTGCGGCAGCAGCCAAAACCGCTGAAGTGGCGACAGTTACGCGAGGACGGGGAGCAAAGCAAGTGACCGCATCCAGCACACAGGTTAAACGCGTGGCATCAATGAAACATTGAAGAAACGTCTTTCCAAACAGCCGCTGGTAGGATAGCGGCACGTCAACCTCAACTGGAGAGGTGGCCTGATACACACCACGCTTCAGGCATGCACGCATGCCAGGGTAGGATGCACGCACACACCCATGTGCAGGTTGATATGGACCAACATGTCAGTAACGCAACCGTTGTCATGGAAACAACTCAGGCAACCCAATGTACCAACCATATCATGCCACTGGTGACAAATGAGGGCTGGTGGAGGACGGAAGTGAATGGGTCTCCATTTAAAACCGTGTGTGGATTCCAAAGACTAGATTTTATAGACGGATGCATTTTTCTTTAAGCTGATAGTGCCTGGCTGTAAGAAATCTGGGCAAAAAAGCCCAGAAAACATGCATAAAATTCCACTGAAATCCACACAGCACAGTTAATCTGTCACTTGATGTCATGGATGGTTTATTCAAATGAACGTACCACGGTATTACACTCAGTGAGGGGTTACCATGTAGCAGCAACTCTGCTGCAAGCCTTTGCAACCTCTTACGTGCAGCCTGGATACCCTTACATGCAGTTTTTCCACACACACACACACACACACACACTAAAAGCAAGCTCACTGCCTCAGTTTTAGGTGGCTTTGCACACACACTCGTGTCTCCTTGCAACAGACCACCCAGACCGCACAGACTGGAAAGGGCATGCAGTGGATGGGACCACTCGTTTTTTTTTTTTTTTTTTTTTGGGGGGGTGGGGGATTCCACCAAAAAAGCCTCATCCCAGGCAGCTGATGTCCGATCACTTACCGGTGGAGTGGTCCACGGGTCCTCCGCCGTTGTTGCCGAAAAGGGCAGCGTACAGGTCAGGGTAGGCTTTCTCCAGGGCCACACACAGGTCGAGGAAATGGTCGCTCTCCTTGTTCATCAGCATCTTCAAAAGGTGGTCGACTTTCTCGGCGCTGGACGAGCAGTTCTGGTCCAGTTCGAACCTGTCCAGCTGGCTCAGGGTGCCGGAGACCAGCAGCAGCTCGATCACCCGGTCCGCGTCTGTTATGGACTCCAATAAGTTCTGGTGGCACTGGTCGAGCAACTCTTTGTGCTTTGGCTCCATTGCTACCCCGCCGTAGTTCCGTAGCTTCCCCGGCTAACCCACGGACGGCCAAGTGGATGGAAGATCCGACCCGATCAAAAGTACCAAGCGATTACTGACGTGGATTCGTCGCGGCTTGCAGAAGTTCGCCGGAGCCACCGAGGCATGAGGTTGCACGGGAGATCAATTTTTATAGCATATTGGAAAAGGCACAAGAAGCCATATTTGTTGCCCAAGGCTGTTGGCTGCACTAAACAGCGATACATTTTTCCATCTTACTCGCGTGTGGCGCTCCACGTCGTCGTACGCTTCCCTTCCGTGTACGCCGCGGGTGAGCGCATTTTCCTCCCCTTCGGTATCACTTAATGCGCCCTCCGCCGACTCAACTGCTGGGAAAACTCACGTAACTCCGCCGCCGAGCCTCAGTTACACTGTATCCTCCGCCATGTCTGAGCAACTCAGCAGCTGCTGCTCGCTGTCAATCAACGTTCGGTTCAATGACCATATAAGGTAAAGTGAGGCGGGGTCTTGCTTAAAACACGCCCATTTCTTCAATGGGCGTACACACCACTCCGTAGTACGTCGAGAATCCCAGGTGGAAAAAACTGAGAATGGGGACCGTGAAAATATCAAGCTTATATCAAAATTCTGACGTAGAAGCAGACGTGTCAATTCTTCGAGAAAGATGAAAAAAATGCTTTATTGTAACTGAAGTGCCCCAGTTTTTGTTTGACAATTTTACATGTGGGTTGTGTGGCTTTTTGCAGTGATTCCGAATTGTATATGTACATTTCACTAATCCTTTGATTTTAGCAGTTGAAACTGAGACCACAAAGTATACTTCTGATGCAGTCAGTGTAATATTTTATGACTGCTTATGCTTGTAATAAAGTATTGTTTTACTTTGGTGAATATGATGAATGTCAGTTTTGCCTATCCTAATTTCAGAAATGTCCCAATTGTATCTATTTTTTATTCCTAACAAATGGTCTCTTTCACTGTGTGCTTCTAAGTGCTAATCAAATTCAATCCAGACATTCTACCTACTTGATTAATGCCACACCAAAGGAATGGCTCGCAACTATCTTCAAAACAACTTTTAGGTCAGTTTTTTCGAATTTGAAACCCTGAAAAGAAACAGAGGAAGACTGCAAAGCATGTAAAAGAGTAAAAAAATAACTAATTTGAAGCTCTCATTCTCTACGTTAAATCCATAGTTTGTGAAAAACAGTCTATACATTATATACATGTACAATGATAAACCAGTATTTTTAAATGCTAAGATTGGAACCTGTCCAAACATAACTGTATCAGTTATTATTCTCAAACTGTAGATAAATCAGTATATTTCATAATCAATACAAATCTCCAAATTTAACAGTGGTAGTTACAGTCACCACAAACACTAATATCCCTGATTGCTTTAATTTAAAGCAATGTTAAAGTAGTGATCAAAATTGGATTTGATTAAGTCCATGCATAACCTGCTGCTGTAGCTGTGGCTTTATCCGTCGTTTGAGCTGCACTGCAACCAATTTCAGAGCACTTCATCTCTGTGAGGGATTCAATATAATAGGGTGCTGCAACATTAAAATGCGAACGAGCAGAGTACGAAGCTGAAAAACGAAATGAGTTTTTTAAGGAGGATTTGTGAAATACAATGCGATGATGACGGTGACGATGATGGATGCATTCTGCTTCCAGTCTGAATAGAGATTGTTGGCACAGAAGCAGGCATCTGCAGGCATACCTCTCAAACCGTGACCTTATTCATGCATACACTGAATCTCATTGTGACATCTAAAACTCTCTCCCCTCCCTTCCGTGTCTCTGCCATGGAGGCTCCATAGCTGCAGCGCCCATGTGCTCTTCCTTTAGATTAAAAATGAATCACAATTCATTCATATCAAAGGGAAGCAGGTCCCTACTGCTGTCATAAATTGGACAGTTGTGTCTGCAACCTGCTGGTGAGGACACACACATGAATAAAGAAGACAGCCTGATGCTTTTTATCTTGGGGGTATGAATGAGTTTAGAAAAGTGAAGTGGTCTTTCTGGCTGTCTGATGATTCACTGGAACAACGTTCATATGGATGTTTATCAGACAGCCTTGAACAAGGCAGATAATGGCCTTATCTTTTATTGAAGAGACTGTCAGCAAGCATTTTCATCATTTATCCTGGCCCAACAGCCTACCACTGAAAATCTGATGTAGATTTTACTGCCAGTCTGAATGGAGACGCAGCCTTAGCCGTCAAAACTGAAGGTGGCTAAACAATTGCGTCAACACTCACTTACTTTTGACATTATTTTACCAGCTGCATCTGCATTATGCAAGACCATTTCAGTTTTACCCTGTGCCTGTCACAATGTATAAGAATTACAGTCCTCTTAATGAGTAAAGAGGAAGCAGTGGCATGCTGGACGAGAATCCTTTGTTTATGTCGTGTGAATTATTTAGAGCTTTTTAATACTTCAAACTTGTGAGAAACTGGCTTGAAAGTGTAAAAATACAAAACAATCAACAGCACCAAGAAATTCCAAGATGTAAAATGATAAAAACAAAGGCAAAAGGCAGGGTAGAGTAAGCAAGTTCATCACAGGGTCAACATAGAATTCCCGCTTAACCTGCTGTGCATTATCGGCATTGAATTAGGCAACTTTTGCTATTACATTCATCGTAACACAACATAATTTATTTATCATATAACATTCATTTATCATATTACATTATTTCAGTGGAAACAGAAACACGAAACAAAAAAACATTTTGCATGTTTTTTGTATCATAATTGTGTTTGCGCTATTGTTTTTGCACCGCAGGGCCACCGTACTGAATGGTATTGCAGACAATTAGATCAAATGCTCAATTGTGATTTTTAATCAACCGTGATTGTCTCTGCCTTAAGCAGGGCACTAGCAAACAGATGATCATTATATCAAATGTGCAATGCTGGCGAAAACATTATTGTATAAAACTAATCAAATAAGATCTTTATGATCTTATTAAAAGGTATTTAATCCTAGTTAATCTTCATTAGAATTCTCAATCATGCAATGACAACATCTGTTTCAAGCCCTCAAACCCATTGCAGTCAGTTGTAACTTGATCTGATCAGAAGCGATTCTTTCGGCAGGGCGTTGCAGACTTGTTAATGTGACTAAGGAAGCTTTATGGCCATCATCAATTCCAGTCCCCCTCCTCTCCTCAGTTATTGACTGCGGTGCAGTTAACACACACTACTGTACCCGCTCAAGCACAGCACCACATCTTTACAGGCAAGTGTTTTCAAAAGCATTTTAAGTGAATCCAACAGGACCTAATAAGGCATAGAGCCCCGAGCAGCCCGGCGTGTTGGCCTTAAACTCCACCAGGAAGGACAAATTATTGTCCATATTGATTGAGGTGAATGCAAGGTATTTAGGAGTTTCCTATTACTATATGAAATTGATTGTGAAACTTTCATTATATTCAGTGTGTAAGTACAAGGTCTTTGTGGCTTGTATAAATCTATACTGCTGATAACAATTGATTTACTCTGACTGCATCATGATTCTGGTAAATTGTTGAAAATGAAATTTTGGTGTGGCTGTGTGGAAACAGACGTCACTGCCCTCTACTGGAAAAGAGGAGCCTTGTGATATCACTATGAGCATAAACCAATGGTTGCTTCTTATCAAAATGAAAACAATTGTGTTTTTAACACCTTGTTTTCCTTAAGTCACAACCGCAGTTCCATCGTATTCATTTGTTGTGAATAACAGATAGGAAATAAGATAAGCCACAATTAACAGAAGATAAAATTTATAAAATGTAAGAATACTTTTTTTACATAAAACAATGCCATCTACATCTCCTAATCACAACAATGATAAACAAAAGACTTACTTTGCAGACATACTTTGGAGTAGATTATACAGCTGCAAACATGCTTTTTTTTCTTTGGTACTTTGCTGGTTTGTAATTCATGTTTCACTCATTACCCAGCACTGCTGAACACAAAAAACTGGCTGTTTAACATATATAATTATGTAATATCCCATAAAAACAACAAAAAACAGACCTTTAAAAATATATAGATCTTTAAACTTTGATTTAAGTACTCATACAATCAATTTTATGGCCACATGCATCCAATTACCTAGTAAACATAACGAGTGAAAAAATATAAAACCTTCAGCTTGTAGAAAAGCAACTGCATGTGGCAAAATGTAGGATGGTTCTTATTGCTTGGTAAACATTGCATTGGAAGCATTGGCATGGCATGCAGTTTGGCTAGTTATGTATAATAGAGAGAACAGGGCGGATAAATAATATTGATAGAGCGTTGCAATTGTGTTTTAGTCACTGCCACCGCAGAGCTTCAGCAGGAGTTTCTTGTAGTCCCCTGATGTGTCTCCCTATCGATAAAACAAACGTTCCAGTAAATCATTCATGTATTTATTACACAAAGGCGTTGTATTTAAAATTGAACAAAATACGTCGTTACTTACAGAGATGTGCGTGTACAGCGACTTGCCGTAGTTTTTCACATACTCCTGACGAATGTCCAGCATGTCAACCTCAGAGCGAGAGACCATGATGCGGATCAGGGTTCTGTCTTTAGTCCCGAGCCCCTGCAGCATGCATGGAAACAAGCACATATATATATAGATATATACATACACAAGTATAGAATAATCATTTCTGAGAATTACATAATGTGGAGGTCAAGTCACACCTTCATGGCTTTGTAAAGTCTCTCAGCAAAGTAGGCAGGCGTGTTCTTAATGCACTTCACTTAAATGGAAGAAAAGACACAATGTGTTCATCATGATAATTATAAAAATTATCACCAAATAACTCACACATAAAAAAAAAATCCAGCATAACACAACAAGAGTAAGGTCACAGGAAAATATTTTAAGTGGACAACAGACAAAGGACAATGAAAAATAACGAGGTTAAGATGAGGAGAAAAGTTAAAGCTGCATCAATATTTGGATCCACTCTGTTTTGGTCATAATGACTCATCTTCTCCGCTGGTTTGAGTCCAGTACTTTTTAATTCTGCCTGAATGCTGCCACCACATGATAAAAATAAACTAACACAGACCTACAGGGAGAACAGATGCATGATCTCCAAATGATTGCACCGCTGATCTGAGCTAGCTGGGCAGGCAGCTTGTATGTTAACAATTACATCCTGCACAAGCCTGTCAAGAAATGCATTCATTATGGTTGTCAAATATTGATAAATGGCAGCTTTAAAAGGTGAATTATATTTGGAATAATTTGCATATAAAACATAAAAAAAAGAAAGACAAGTATCCGACAATGGACAATGACAATAGAGGGTAAGTGCGAGGTAATAATGAGGTTAAAAACACGTCTAAAAAACAACATTACTGTACCATAACCCTGAGGAACGTTTGCGAAGAAACAAGAAATAAAGAGATTAAACATTTAAGAAGAAATTCACCTCAGCTGTATGGCACATTTAGCTTGAAGAAATAAGTGAAATAAGCTATAGTTTATATGAAGAGAATGACAATGGTTTGGAGGGAAAATGTTGCATCAAATCAGTAGTGCAGATATGCCTCCACAAAAACTAGCTCATTTAGGTTGAAGACTTGAGAATTTGCAAAATATGTATACGTGTCCAACAAAATGAAACATCAGCAGATGTGCATTCTTACCCACTGCCAACATGCCACTCTCAAGGTCTCCAGACATCTCCCTGCTGATGCTCTTCTCAATGTCTCTGCCACACATCTTCTGGTACTCAAGAAACACTACACACAGGCGCGCACGACATTAATGACACAGCTTAAATACAATAAACATCAGCATTAAACATCTCATTATATTCATAATATGTGTACATTGAAAATCCCCCACGAGTCAAAGTGTACCTGCTCTCAGATGTGGCTTGCTCCTGGCACATAGGATTGCGTTGAATTTTGACTCATCTGTTCCGAGTTTGTTCTCTCCAGCAGCGTACAGTGCCTATAACAAAAAAAGAAAGTCAAATAAAAATGACACTCTCCTGGTACCTTCACTGTGATGGGGAAATATCATTGAGAGAAGATTCATTCTTACCTGAGCATCTTGCTTAGCCAGAGAGATATCAACAGTCTCTCGTTCATCTCTATTACCCTACAAAATGCAAATGCAAAATGTTCCTAGTTAAAAAAGCTAATCAAGAAAATTAGAAGTGTAAAGTAAGTAGCTGTAAAGGCACATCAGGAAGATGGGAAGTCATTTGTAAAGATTATACCTGAGCAAGAGAGATTAGGAGCCTGCCAAAGTGGCCGGAGGTATCCCCTTTAATGTCAGTCTCCAGTGACTTCTTGTATTCTAAAATTCCAAAGAAGACTAATTTCAGCTCACAAAAACAGATATAGCAGATTAGACACACATGAGTTTATCCACTGACATATGAGATCTCTTCAAAAGTGTTGTGACAGAGTGGGACAAAGGAGCAGAGAGACGTGGAGGAAAGTTGAGTATCTGCAACCGTGGTCCAGCTCACCTTGTTTGTAAATTCGATTAATTTCCCTGATTTCAGCATTGGAGCGAGAGGACAGAATCTCTATCAAACAGGCTTCATCAGTTCCTGCTCCCTGTGAAAACAGCAACATTCTGAGAACATGTTGCCCTTGGTAGAAGCTAAAATATTTATTTTGTATATGTAAACTGCTTAAAGCTAAACATAAGGGAACTTTTTAAAACAAATATATAAATGTCTGCATAATGTGAGCATTTACCTTTATGGCACTGTTGAGTTCATAGGCATCCAACTCAGCTGGGGACTTTAACATGGCCATGACCAGCTTCCTGAAGTCCCCAGACAGCTCTGAATGCAGGTCTTTAATCAGGTCCTGCAAGTGGAAATGTGCTTAGAATAATTCACATCATCACTAAGCACTGCTGTGAAAAACTGCAAAAAGCTCTCTGAACAGCCTTAGTGGGCTCTAACAACATTTGATCCTGATCCCCTATCTGTGTCTGTTTGTCACTGAAAAGCAGAGAGTCGTGTCCGTTTTGTGTCCCCCCCCCCGGTCCCCGTCTAGCAGAAAATGGCATCTGTTAATGGCATTAGGTTCTTACCTTCCCATAAGAGGTTTTGTAGGATTTGAGTAAAGGTACACGCTGCTGAATGGAGCGACTTCCCAGAAGGTCAATTATGGCTTGCTCATCCGTCCCTGCGCATACATTTCAGCAATGTTAACACAGGCACAGACCAGATAATTAATGTCAGTTCAGGTCTACATTTTATTGCAAATTAGAGTGACTTTTAAAGATTAAAACAATACATCTAAAATAAGAAATCAAATTCAAATCTCTTTAGCTACTTTCAATAATTAAGACATATATTTAGTGGTTCAAATCCCAAAATATAATGAATTGTACACATCTGTAAAAGCTGTGTTTTTCTTTGCAAATGAAATAGGTGGTACAACTTACAGCATTTCATAACTTAGGAAGTGAATATTCTTTAAATCTTAAACATAACCGTAATGAAACTGTAGCCAATTAGGACAGCCTGACTTAAGTCTGCCTTTAACACTCACCAAAGCCCTTCATGGCTTTTCTCAGGACCTCCACATCTTTAAGTGGGTCAGCCCCAGGAAAGTCCCTCATTGTTCCCCTGAATCCTCTCTGCGATAACGATACACACACGTCAATAGTGTAACAGTGTTATTACCATGGGTTCATCTGTCCCATTTAAGACCCTGAAACTGCTGCAGTATTTTTGGTGTGCCTTACATTGATGGCTGGAGCTACTGGCATTGCTCCTCCTCCGTAGGCTGGCATGGATGGATTTGATGGCGGGACACTGGGGTACCCTGGCATAGGTGCTGGGTTCCCTCCATAACCTGGCATGGGTGGGTTGGGCGATGGTGCCTGGGGGTATCCAGGCATTGGCTGGCCAGGCTGACCAGGGTAGCCCATTGCTGGTCCCTGTTGTTGGGGCATGGTCCCTCCTGGCTGTGGGTACAGGCCATATGATTGTTGGTTAGGGCTGGGGGCACCATACGCACCAGCTTGGGGGCCTGGTGCAAACCCCCCGGGTGTGTGGGCGAAGACGCCTCCAGACATCTGGCTTCCCTGTGATTTGGAAAGATCGAAGTCACACGAAGTCACATATATATATATAGATAGAGAGAGAGAGAGAGAGAGAGAGAGAGAGAGAGAGAGAGGGATCCTTGGAGATCATTACAAAACATAGATAGCTGGTCACACCTTGCTTGGATTAGATTTAAATGTGGGTTTGGCATATTCCATATCAGGATTTAAGACTTTTTCATATCTTTTATCTTAGAAAAAATGTCAGAGCAGACGCTGACGTTTACTTTTTCTTTGTTTTTAATGCAAGGTTTCTGGAAGTAAAAGTATCCAAACAAAGTGTGGCACATACGAGGAATTTCATACAACTATTAGCATAAGTGCGAATATAATAGAGATGCGGATAAATCAGCAATGTAACAGGGATAAACGTTGCATCAGACTGATGGAATTAAAAAGCAAGCATTAGAATTAAATATATGGCGGGTTTCATGCAAAAGAACTTGAGGGAGAAGCTGCTAAAAGGAAATATTAATCATGAAGATTTAGCATGCGTACTTGGGAAAAAAAAAATCTTACCATAAAATGAATAGATGAGATAATCCATTACAGGCTGTTAACTCAGTGTAACTTGAACATTTAACTCCTTATTCCACTAATATTACATTACAAATATATCAATACATATATATAAAACACATTAAATATGTGTATTGTTTCTCAGAGAGATATTTAAAGGCAAAACTTACCATGCCAGCATTGTATCCAGGGTTAGAAAAGTTGTCAAGACCAATGGAGGGATATCCACCTGCGGGGCCACCCCCCCAACTGCCTGCAAAACACGACAGGGACATTAAAGATCTGATGTTAAACTAAAGGCCTGAAGAAAGTGAGCATTCATGACTGGGACAGGAAAGGCCCCTCTTACTGGAAGTCTTTGCTCTTCTATTAGCTAACGGCTCAGTGACAGCATACAGGTCAGAGAATGGGAGTACTATGTGAGGATTTTTTTCCCCCTGTTTTAGCGACAGCGGATATGTTTGTTTGGGGGGGGATTCCTCTCTTGATGCATAACTCATGACTTGTGGTGTTGCTTACAACTATACTGTAATTTATACAATCTTGCTCATAAACCTCTGAACTCTTGTCACTTCAGCGTTATGCACTCATCTAGCGTTTTTTAAGAAACTCACTTTCTTAACAAATGTTCTATTAAAAGAGAGTACATAGCTATCAACACACGAATGATGCAAATGTCTTCATGTCATTCTGAGGAGATGAACAAGCATGTTTCCTAAAACCGCTCTTGTAACTATTGGTGTTTTTATATTATTTAAAATACCTGATGGAGTTGCTGTCTAATCATGTGACTCCCTGGCCAATCAGCGCCTCGCACTCTGCTCTGGGCACTACTCAGCCCCAAGGGACCCCTGACTGAGTGTGTTTTATGGCTGTAACTGTTTAGTGGGGTCAGGAAATGCTAAAATACCATTGAGAGCCATGCCATGCCGACAAGGCCCCAGTGGAAAGGCGCCATAAGCTGCTCATTCACTTACCTTGAGGGGGTGCGGCGGGGTAGCCCCCAGCTTGTGGGGGGTAGCCTCCAGCTTGTGGGGGGTATCCTCCAGCGTGAGGGGGATAACCCCCAGCCTGTGGCGGATAGGCACCAGGCTGTGGAGGATAGCCGCTTGGCTGTGGTGGGTAGCCTCCTGCCTGTGGAGGATAAACTCCAGGCTGAGGTGGGTAGGCACCGGGTTGTGGAGGGTATGCTCCACCCTGAGGGGGATATCCAGGGTAGCTCATTCCTTTGAAAATAAAAACAGGACTCAATCAAATGGCTGCAGGGAATGACAACCCCCATCCAAAAAAAAAGTGATAATCTTCTATAGCTGGACTAACAGAAAAGTGCCCTACCTGTTGGTAACAAACATCAAAAGAAATACTGCTGAGTTACCAGTGATGTGGCAGTGACGGGTGGAAACCTACCCAGCAATAAACCTGCCCCTTATCTTCCTTCCTCTCTACAGCCATAAAATAATGTATGTGAAATGTTCAGACCTTCTGGTGAAACACAACGTGGCTTCTTTCAAAGTTATCTTGACTGTGCAAATTTAAAATACCCCACACAAAAATATAGCCATTCAGATTATTACTGCCTTAAGCTCACAGCTTTAGATTTTTAATGTCTTTACTACAGTTTTTGCTGTTTTAAGATGCAATATGAGTTTGTCCCCACAACCATAAGGAGGGCAGGTTTTCATTCCAGTGCTGTTGGATCACAGACATTTATAGCTGAGCTCTGGGTGGTAAAGGAAACTTCATTTTGGTTAAGACAACTATGCAAAGCCTTCTCTTCAATTGGCCTATTTGTTCCATGGTAAAACTGAGTCCAGTGGAACAGTCTTCGTAGCTTTGCATTTCAAAACAGAAAAAACAGGCACATGACTGAATTTGAATAAGCCCAAAGAGAAACCCGGACATGAGATGGGACCGTATAGAGGATATTTTTCACAATAACCTTCAGAGCTTCTAAGCATAGTGTATTGCTAACACGATTACTAACATAGCTTAAAGTTTAACAAAAAGATTTCTCTCAAAAAGCCCAATTGTTGATTTTCACATCAGGAGACTGCATGCTGAGTCAAATCCATGTTGGGAAACCTTCCATAGAACAAATGCAAGTTGTCTGCCTTCGGGAACACTTTTTTTTTTTTATTCAGCCAGTCTGTTTGAAGGCTCTGCAAGTGCAAACACATCGATCGAACTGCTACGGCAGACAGCAAGCAGCAAAACCCACACACACCCCTGCTCAGGACCTTAGTGTGCTGTCTTTTCCTGGATAAAAAAAAAGTTCAATTCCATAATCTGACATGCGCTTGATTTGCTAAGATGTAAAGCTGCAGGGCTCTACAGGCAAAGCACAGAACACTACTTTACTCTCCCTTACATTCACTCCTGATTGAGATCAATTGATCGATTGATGAATACTTTATTGATCTCACATGGAGAAATTCACTATCAAATGTAATTACAGCCAAATATTGCTCTTAATCAATGAAAATCAAGAAAAAACATTTCAAATTCTACAGGTAAACCAATGGAATTGAAAATCCCTCATTTAAAATTAAATGACAGAGTATGAAAACTATGCCAAGATTAAAAAATTCTACCTTGACAATGAGATTGTGTTACTCAGATGTTATTTTGGATGCCACGGTATGAATGTGTTTAAAGAAATTATTTTAAAATTCGTAGCCAGTATCACGTAGTTACAATTTATTTAGCTATTATGAAACAGTAAACGTTAGTGAGCGTCCGTTGTATCGATTCAGTCATTTCAAAAGTTAGATGGCACCATAACAAAAGGGATCACCAAAAGAAAGTTGTCTGACGTTGAATAGTAACACTTCGTTTTAGATGGTAGATTAGCTCTCAAGCTCTACAAGAAATGCTCCTGACTCAGGCCTGCGCACGGAGTTTCCAAAGAGAACTAGCCAACTTCAACAAACCACCAACCAACATACACGGCACGGCTAAACAGCACCTGCCAACCTAACTACCAAGCTTAACAACACCAAACAAAAGCAAGCACCACGGTGAAGTTACGACCTAGACTCTAAAATGCAGTACCTTTTCGCAACTTCAGCTAAAGGACCTGGAAACCACTCAAACGTTGCCATGCTAGCTAACACCGTCGAAAGAGGCCGAGTTAAACCACAAAAAAACTACTCAAAACAGCTGCCACACGTCCATATTTAAATCCAATAAAGCGTACGTCGGTCTGACATTCAATGTTAGCCTGTCTGAACGGTAGAATTATACTTACTTGTCAATTAGCTTTTGGTCACTTCCTTGGCGAGTACGTCTTCTGTCTGTCGAGGCTTCGGCTGTCTTTAAAGTTCGTGGGTGGGGCCCACATTTTCCGTACCGAGACCCGCCCATCCCCGCGCTGACGTCCGGCCGTAAACAAACACTGCGTGACAATGAGTCTGAATGGAGGTTTCTGACCGGTGGAAAATGTGACAGCCGCTGTCAGCTGATGATTCACAATAGGAGAGTCACCGGACAGGTATCTCGGCCAAAACAAACAACGACCAGTAGTACTTAAACAAGCACTATTAATGCAAATCAAAAATATATTTTTAAAACGTTTTTTTTTAAAGTTTTTTTTACCGTAAAAAACTATAGTTATGTCAAATCTGAGCATTACCCGAGAGCATGCGCAGTCTGCTTCAAGTGTCATATTGATTAGTTACTTTCCAATTACTGTTTTTGAACAAATTGTTTCTTTGTTAATTATGTTCTAACTGTGATTAAAAATGACAAGGAGAAAATCAGGAACACTTAAGCACATGGCTGTTTACGTAATTGACATAATTGGTCTGTAAAATTTAACTAACGTTGTTTTTATGACAATTTTATTGGCTAAAACACAACAGATACTTAAAAGAAAATGTGGTTTGGAATACAGATGTCTGTATTATCTCAAAACAAATATGTCCTTCACAGTCAATAAAAACTGAAAGAGAGGATAAAACTGTTACTTCTGAATATTGAAGCCCATCAAAAACTGACATATGCTGTGCTTCCATGTTAAAGTTAATCAGTTAATCAGTTAATTTTTCAGGAAAAATCTAATAGAAACTGGTAACTGTATCTGACAGTCCAATGTCTGACTTGTTGGTTTGTCTCTTTCTTTACAAGATGTGCAAGGTTGCAAATCTAACAGTGACCACACATCTGGAAGAGATCTCCATGTGTAGACTTTCACTATCATTTTTACACAAATGTTTCTGTAAAACTGGGAGGGACATTTAGCTGTTTAAATTAAATCAATTGAAAGTAATTGTTTTTATCCTTTGATCACAGATTCTTCTGCTTGCCACAATGACCATCCACAACTCCAGCTGGTATAAAGCTGAGTACACCCATGACTCTTTGTTGGTCGATCACAGAGCAACGCAGATTAACAACACACCCCCACACTCATTTAAGAAATAATTAAACTAACCAAATGTGGATCTAATAGCATAAGACCTCGGGTTAGAGCTGCTGTTAGCCTCAGGCCCAAAAACCTTTTTGCTGTGAGGTGGAGATTGAATTGAATTGAATTGAATATACTTTATTGATCTCCAGGGAGAAATTGACTTCCTGTACAGCCCGTACCAAGATTACACCAGTTCAGGAAGACTGAGGGCAGCCATACAGGAGGGCGCACCATTTTTCTTCAGATCCGGAAGAAGAAGTAATATCTTTGCTTGTGTAACAAGATTTACCACAAGAGGGAACCCTTTTACAGCTTTTCGTGCAGGCCTTGCCTCATCTGTGTCAAATCCAGGTTACCTGCATGTAGAGACATGCTCAGTAAACCATGGCTCATTTGGGGAGCTCTGGGCCTGGTAAACTGTGGAGTTTATCGATTGCCTAACCGTAGTGGCCTATTTAGTAGTTATTTCTAATCCAGATTAGTCTCATATTCCCCTGGATGCGTACTGGATGTATTCACATATGAAAGAAAGACATAAATGATCAGAAAGTCAAATTCATAAAACAGAATTTACAAGGAATTTGAAAAAAGAAGAAAATTGACAGTTTCCTCAACTTTCTTTAAAAAAAAACACCTCTACTGAAAGAATAGAATTTCCTCAGCTCAGAGAAATCATTTAAAGCAGTTTAACGTAACGAAAATGTGTGACAGTTTGTTGGTATGGCAGAGACGCTGTTCCGGATGTGAATGAATATTCAGACGAGCGAGACGCTGATTGGCTGCTCCCCGCCGGTGACGTAGGACTGCGTCATTACATATTCAGCAGCGCCTCTGAGCCCCGCTGCAACAGTGGCAGATAGCGGACCATGGGGAGCAGGGGGAAAGTTTCTATACTCATATGTTAGCGCAATGACTTTTGAGTAGCATTCAACTGGGACGAGGCTCCCGGTGAGAGGAGGACAGGGTGCTTTACGGGAACAAAACAAAAAAAAAAAGAAGAAGAAGAAGGCCATCTGCCGGGGCACGATAACGGAAAGCAAGGCGACTTAAGAGTTTGAGAGCAGTCCCAAGAATCAGCGGTGGAAAAACTCAGTTGGGCCATTTGAATTGAAAGATGAGCTTGTTGTCTGCCATAGACACGAGTGCCTCCGTGTACCAGCCTGCGCAACTTCTCAACTGGGTCTATCTCTCCCTGCAAGACCCCCATCAGACCAGCGCCTTTGACGCGTTCAGACCAGAGCCCAACTCTTCCCACCCGGATCTCAGCTTCAGCAAGACTCCCGCAGCGGCGGAGCTCAGCTCTTCCCTCAACTCCAACTATCTCAACAACTTCTTTCAGCTGCAGCGAAATGAGGTGAAACATGTGATGATGCACTCAAACCCGGGATATTTCACACGGGGACAGTGAGGCTGGATTTACAGCAGAGTCAGCCCGGGTTGGTTAATCTGTTCATTGCCTGTCTGGGCAGCAAATGTTTCAGGATACAAGAGGGGCTATTCTGGTAGGACATATATAAGCTAACCGCCATGATATGTCCAATTTGAACAGGAACTCTTATAGATTGTAATATTTGGACACAATCTTTTCCACTATTGTTGTAAAACACTGTTAGGTATTAGAATATTTATTCGTGTTTAAGGACAAGTTAGATTTCCGTGTAGTTATTGCAATAATATCAAACAATCAGAGCATAAAAGTGTGTGTAACACAAAGTTGGATCTACAAGGAATACTGCAAGAATAGCATTAAGACACAGACATGCTCATTAAAACAGCATAACTAAAAGTTACTATAAACATACTTGGGAGTGATTCAGCTGGGGCTGCAGGGGGTGGGGGGGCTGATGGGATATTTAGAAATTCCAAATTTAACCTCTTTAGATAGCTGAGATCTTCTAAAAAAATCTCACAGCTGAATGTCACCACAAATATACATTTTGTTCCCCAATGATCCCATTAAAAATCCAGATAGAGCGGCCGGTCTTCTCTGGACAATAGCTGTCTCTGGTGGAAAGACGAAAGCGGAATTGTTCAGTAAAAACATGTATGTATCAGACATGTCTCTAGTCAAATGTAATTACCCCCCCACCCCCCCTTCTGTGCATGTCTCTGTCTGGAGAAAGCAGACCACGGCAGTCCTGTGCTGAGGTCTGCTGTCGCTGACTTCTTCAAATAGACCAGGTTGTGCAAACAAAATCACTTCTTGTTTACATATTTTTGGTGCTCCCAGTAATTTTAGGAAAGAACGTGCTGATAATGTGTATGTACAGGCTGGTGAGCAAAAAGCCACCCCAGCACCACACCTCTATTTAAAGATAGATAGATAGATAGATAGATAGATAGATAGATAGATAGATAGATAGATAGATAGATAGATAGATAGATAGATAGATAGATCAACAGAGAAGTCACCTTCTAAAACTGGTTGTCAGTATTATGGTGGTCACCATAGAAAGCTTTTCAAGTAATTTAACATGAAAAGTACCCAGGAAATTGGTTTTGCACATTATGCATTACACGCAACACTGTAATGCCATTTAGTCCACATGAGTATAAAGTGTTTCAAACTGTGGGAACACACATAGAGTCTGGAAATGGTTTAAAGGGGTGGGGGTATTTTGCAACTTACTACACAGACTAGGCCAAGTAAAATAAACCACTGCAGAGATTTGATGGTGAGATGAGTAATGCAGAATGTGGCCGCTTTTGCAGAGAGGGGATCACACAACAGCTCAATTAAAAAGGAATAATGGTGTATTATAATGGATTTGTTGTTGAGGCTGAACTTAAATGAGAGCAGGGATCAAGTACGGTTTTCACAGTGCCATCTGCTGCCAGCTTCAAATAATGTCTTGATCTTGGCAAATATTGTAAGGACCCTCCAGCAGACATCACTGCCTCAAACATTTCCGTCTTCAGCTGATCCCCTCAGTTCAACACTTCATCCGTTGACTGAAAACAGTCAAAGATGTGCTGCACTTGGTACTGACACTACTTGACTTGTACCATCCCACAAAAAGATGGGCGGACAAACAGTCTCGTCCCATCACTAGCAGATTTGTCTGAAATTTGTCTCTCTGATAGTTTGAAACCCAAGTTGAAAAAAAAAAGAACATATAAAAATTTCCCGTTTTATATTTGATATAATTTTACAATCCACATTAGCTCCCAAGCACAGAAATACACACGTCACCAGCAGCAGAGGGGCAACAGAAATACACAGAAATGAAACACAGGGCAGATGGAAAACTCTGAGAAACAGCAGAGCTGTATAGGTTGATTTACAGCGACATCGTGTAATAAATGAACACGAGTCTTAAAGCTGGAGCTGTTTAGCAAGACAATCTTACAACCTCCAGATAAAGATTTGGCTTTCAGGCCTGGCCAAGCTGCCAAGTCTAAGGTTTCTGTGCTGTGCAACATTAAACATTAACAGTAACATCATTTCCCGGACATAAACTCAGGTCCCCAAAAGACACATGTGATGATTAAGAGTTGAATGTGGATTTTTTTTATCATGCCTACGCACTCAGAAATGCTTTCTCTTTAGAGTTTTGTCTTAAATAATAATTTTAAGTGAAGCTGCACTGTTTAAAAATCAAGGCATATGAGTAGTGAGAGCGTTTCCTGTGGCCTTTTCATCAAGGTTATCAAAATGACTGAAATAGAAATGGCTCCCCTAAAATCAGCATGATTTCACCCAGAGGCCAGTTCCTGACTGTTCTCTCTGGATTTTTAAATGAACTGAGGAAAACATTAGCGAAGAGGGAAATAAGGAACTGTGAGCAATGCTTTCAGTCATATTAATATTCAGAGGGCATCCTCTATGAGCCCTGTTGTATGCAATACTCTGTTCAGTGGCTCCGAGCGGACTGCAAACCAGGGCCAGTTTAGCACCAACAGTGCATGGTGACATTGCTGATGTTCCACTGGCCGGTGCGGGAACATGCCTCCCATCTTGTTTACAATGAGTCATCCTTTGTAAAGTCCTTTCTTTCTCTGCGAACATGCTCGGTACTTTTCCAGCTCATAAGCAGAGCTGGGCCTTCTGCCAGATGTTCTGAATTTAATGAGAGAAATAATCTTAGAGAGTTTTTGGCCTCCTATGTTTTCTCGCCACAGAAAATAGGACAGATTTTTGCTTGACATTTCCTAAGATTTAGACAGCTCAGTTTAAAGTGACCCGTTTCTCCTACTGTTTTTTCTAGGCCTTAAACAACAACGTGTATAAGAATGTGTCGCCCTATGGCTCCCTGAACAACATCGTGGATGGACTCAACTCCCTGACGGACCATTTCTCAGACCTTTCCCTTTCCTCAGAGCCGAGAAAACCCAACAAAAGACCTCCTCCCAATTACTTGTGCCATCTGTGCTTCAACAAGGGCCATTACATCAAGGACTGCCCTCAGGTGAGAGACTAATTTCGAGGCACGTTCATGATATAACCTGGTCTCAAAAAACACAGGAAACTTTCTCTTGCTGCTTTAATGTACTTCAAATGCCTAATTACCCGTTATTTGTTTTGTGTTACATACAACTGCTATATGTGACTTATTCTGTCTTTCTATTTAGATCATAGGGCCCAATGCTACCACTAGAAGCTATACTTTCCCCGTTTGTTCCCGTCTCTGTCTCCGTCTGTCTCTGCCTCTCTTACTCTCGTTCTCTTAGGACCTGGTGTGACCTACTTGTTAAACAGGCTGGCCACTGTCTTCTGTGGTCATGTGTGTGTGTGTTTATGTGCGTGTACTTGTGTCCATCTTAACTGCCTAGACATTAAAAAAAGATGGCATGTCTCAGCCACAAATGATATTAACTCTTGACCCTTTTCAAATTTGATCTTTTATCCGAGATTAAACCGATTTAAACTTTATTAGTTGGTGAGTTATTAGTGATCCACTTGGTGCCTTTGAATATCATAGGGAGCCAAAGATCCTACATCAGCCAATATCTTGTACCCCTCCAGTTTTACTTTTTGGATCCATTTCTTCACTGGCACCACAGAGCACCCGAAGAATAGTAACTATTCTAATTTGATTTTAAGGCGCAATTTAAAGAAGCTGGTGTAATATAAGGAGGCAGCGTGTCCCCTTTAAATAACCCAGGGATACTGAAGGCACGTTCAAAATGATATACTGTAGCTATATTTTAACATTGTCTCTTGTGGCATCTAAATCAATGTCAGACATTACTCAAGACAGAACTTAACCAGAAAGCCACCTCTTTAAAAAAAATCTGCTGGACATGCGACGCTGGCTCAAAGCAGGAATCAGGCCTCCAGGACTTGGTGTTGCCTGATGTGGTTTGCCAAACGGAAAAACACGATGAACAGTGTGTGTGAAAGCACAAAAAATGGAGGTCATTGCTGGTGCTAAAAAAATGTTATTGTGTTGACATTTTTTTCATCATTTACTAACCGCCCTCAATGTGATCAACAAATGGTCTGAAATGTTTTCATGGAAATGTCAAGTGGACATTTTTTTTTAAAGAATGTTACTAATAACTGTAATGGGACCAGTAAACAAGGCTGCATAGTTTTGTCAGAGCAGAAGATTGCTGAGCAGCTTCTGTGTGTGTGACTTGGAGATGTAGAGGTTGTCAATGAGGAACCATATCTAAATGGTGAAGAATAAATTAAAAACAAAAATCTTTTTTGTCAGAAGGCACCTTTTTTTCATTTTTGCTTTTGCTCTAGCAGCAGAAGGTTTTAAGGTTTTTATCCTTCATGTAAAGCCAAAACTATCTGACGATATAAAACATTTTAGGTAAATGTAACAAATGTTCTAATTTCAGCCGTTCCTAACAACTGTTTTCATTTTATAGGAATATTTATATTGAAGTGCTGCATTTGGCTGTGTACAGAAAACAATAATCAACCTGAAACCCTACTGTTAGCCCTACTCCGTAGGGTTTGAGTTAGAGTTAAAGACGTTCTGAATATGAGCAGACGTTATTGGTTGAGCAAAGAAATTGTTTGTTTGGTTTGAGGAAGTTATTGAGGAATGACTACAATACGAAGCTGCCGTGGTGTCATTGCGGTGTGATATAGCACCTTGTAAAGACAAACTTCATCGCTGGGACTGCGGCCTGGAAATGATCTGAATTCATAAAAGGAACACCAGGGCACTTTCCTGTGGAATTTCTACATGGATTTTTTATTTTCTTTTGCAGAACTGAGGTTGCTTTATAATATCTCCTCTCTCTTTTTCGCTCTGCTGCCTCTCCCTTTTGTCTTCTCACTCTCTTCCCGGGTGAGTTGCAATAGCCCAACTTCAGCCTTGAGTTTTTTTTTTTTTTAGCATGGAATGGTAACAAGGAGCAGATGTGAGATTAAAATGCTTTGACTCGCTTTATGACATATGATGACTGGTCCCCAGAGGTCTGTAAAAGACCCATGTACTGATGAAATATCTCCTGGACAGCTCCAAACTGCACTGTGTGGGAATTAGATCATCTTATGACAACTCTAATGGGAATTTGGGATTGTGGTATATCATGCAACTTTGCCTTTACTTTTCCTTTAAGTGAGACTCTACCTGTTAGTAGAACTTGATCACATTATTATGATCAGTGGTGGAGCAGGTGTACATTAAGTCGTAAATGATCATTGAGAGTACCTAAAGTAGTCCTACAGTATTATGCCCCGGCTTTCAGCTGCATCGTACACTTTTTAAATCACAGGTGATAGATTAAGATAGATAGGTGAAGAATTTGTCTGTGTATGTCAAAATCATGATCAGATATCTTCTTGCTTGTGTTTTAGCGATTCATTAAAGGCAGCAAAGACTCCCAACAGGCTCCACACCTACACAGTCAACTCAGTCAAATCAGTTATTTACGTCTCCTTTGGCCTTTTTCTCCATCAATTTACCTGTCACCTGTCACTGAATGCCAAGCCAAGGACTGGTCAGTTTTACTTAACCAGTTGCCAGGGTTAGGGTTAACCAACCCCCCCCCTAACTGGCATCTAAATAACTCACATAAAATACTGCGTGCAGCAGAAAAATGAGGCAGAAGGAGGCTCAGCCTTCTTATTAGCCAGGACTTGTGTCTTGTTCCAAACATTGTTTTCTTTTCCTCCATTACTTCACAATCTGTAGTTTAGTGTGTCCGCACTAATGGTTTACCCTGCCTCGAGATGCTTTGCCAACAAAAACAGAGACTCCTGCTTCACAAAGTGTTGCTAAAGTTTTTAATCCTGGTCCAGCATGGAGAATCTCATTCTGATTGCATTTACAGTCCTCTTTTTCAACTCTGTCTCAACTGATACTTTCAATACAGATTTAAGTAAAGCATAACTCTTTATGTTGATCTTGAGTTGTTGATTCTCTCTCTGAGCAAATGTATTAACACACGAAACACTTCACACTTCCAAAATGCTAATGTATAACTCAGTAGATGGAAGATATTTTGTCATAACACATTAATATCGGAAAGACATAGAACAGGTCTGTGGCTGTACTGAGAGCATTATTTTTCAAGAAAGTTGTGTAGTTGAGTGAAAGCCGCAGGCCTGGCAGCAGCTGCCCACTGCTCCCTGTCATGGGGACAGAGGTGTTATGTAAACTGGCTTTTATTCGGAAAATGAGGTCGCTCCCCCAGTTATGAGCAGAATGCCTCTCGCTGCCAGTCTCTGGCCTCCTTCCAAGATGTCTTCCACTTGCACTCATGATTTGGTTTTATTCAGGGGCGTAATCCTCAAAACAGCTGGCCTCACCTCTGATCTGAGTGATCCAATCAATGGCTCTAATGGAATTTAGCTGTGTCACTCCTGTCGAATGTTTAACAAATGGAAAATGTCTTTGTCGCAGTGCAGGTTTGTGGGTATGCGGGGGGGGGGGCGGCTGCTGCTGCTCTAAGCTTTTATGTGTGTTTTCGAGATGGACTGCACTCCTGAGAAACAACGTCACATTCCTGCACTGGGTCAGTCCATCAGATTTAATGTGCCCTGGCTGTTTTCTTCATCCATAAGAGGGCATCTTTTTGATTATGTTAATTTGGTAAAATGCCAACACAAAAAATAAACAGATTTGACTTTGAGAGTAAAATCTCCCATTTCTTCTTTACTTCAGGCTGAGTCAGACCAATAACTAGTCTGTGTTTATATAGGATTTAAGCTCTGATGTCGAAAAAACGCTGTCATGCTCAAAGGAGAATATTCGGAGTGACTATATCAGCTCAGTCTGATAATCAGTTGACTCCTATTATGAAATAAACTAAATCTATTGAAATGTTTCTCTGCTCACTCACAAAAAGAGGCCTATGTGACATAAATTTAATCATCTGCATTTTTCCACATGCGTCCATCAAGTCACTGTAGAGCTAAGATTCTCAGATTTTCATTCCCAGCTTGTCAAACGCTGCCACTTGGTCAAGAGCCCTTTGTATCAGTTTTCAACAGAGGGAGAGCTGCTGCACAGCTGCATGTTCCCAGTAACCCTTCTGGGGCAGACGCTAACATACTGGCTGTGCCGATGGTAAACGGTGACAGGAAAAAGTCATTCCACAGGTCTGGGTTATCAGCAGCCCAAACAGGTCATGCAGAGAGGTCAGCGTGAAGGAGGGGGGGTAGACCCACAGCTCTCAGAGAGATAACTGGTGTCCGACCTTGATAATGCACTTTTTATTTGTACTTTTATGCAATAGATTGATGCCAAGTATTAAAAGCACTTGGATAACATTGTGGTTTGGTTCCTAAAAAAAAATAATAGTGAGATACATTTTGATACACAACTCTACCTGTACCTGGGATTTTTAGTTGTTGAAGTTTGTTTGTGGACCGTATACAAAGTTGAGCGAACATGTTATTGTCTCCTACTTGTGTGAGTGGTGTCAATGTTTTCAAGAAGTAAGTAATCCAGAGGCATGCTTTCCACTTTATTAACCTTTTCCTACAAGGCTCACGGTGGCAGTGAATAAACAAGCTGATGCTGCTAGTGCAGATATTTAAATAGATGTTCTGCAAAAATGCTAAGAAAAGAAAGACGTTGATTATAAAGATTTTGTCTTTACTATACTTACCATACTTGTACAAAAGCGATGACTATACTTAGAGGTGGAATGTTCTGTATAAGTCCGTCTGTAGAAAATAACAGGGAGAGTAGATATAAAAGAATAGCATGCTCCACAACATCACAGTTTCTGGGCTGATCAGAAACACATGGAGGCCATTGATCCACAGACAGAGCCTTCTTTATCGTGCCAGTATAATGAACCTTTTGTTCAGATTGTTATGGTGTCAGTGGAATGTGTGTACGTTGTATAAAGCATTAATTTCAAAGTTAATCTAGAAATTCTAAAATTATCCTCCTGTTATGTCTGACTTTTAATATTCAAAGCAGAGTGAGTTGGACGAAAATGGGATGCATGTGCCACCGAATCACTCAGGGTAAAACAAAAAGAAGAAAAGTCAGCTGAATCA